CTCCAAATCTTCCTTTCTAGCTTTGTCCTCTGTAATAAAACAGAGTAGGTCTACCCTGCCTTTCACGGCTTCATTAATATTGTACTCTAACCCACTGTTTCCCAAGCTGTAAACATGATTTACCGTTTTGCAGGATCTTGGATTTTTCTCCCTTATTCTCTTTCATCAGTCCATTTTAAGTCCATGCTTCTCTGTATTCATTTGTTATTTCTTACAGCATACTAATATCCCAAACATTCCTATATGTACAACTTGTTTAGCCACTCCCCAAGTGATAGACATCTACTTTGTTTCATCTTTTTCTATCACGAAAAAATGTTGCTATAAATATTTTGGTGTATGCGTAGTTTCTTTTGTTAATGACTTCCTTGAGGTATATGGAATCTTTGAGTTGCCAGTTATGGACATTTTAATCACCGTATTTGCAAAATTCCAAATTGCTTTGCAGACAAGTTATCCCAATTCACAATTCTACCAATAATTCATTAATGTGTCAATCTTTCTATAAGCCCTCCAACATTGACTCTCCCATCTTTCGTCATTTTTGCCAATTTTAGGGGGACAGAAGCAAAACCAGTCAATCAATAAGCATCTATTGTTTATTATGTGCCAGGCACTATGTTAAGTGCTAGAAACCTCAGAATACTTTTGAAAAAAGGTATTTTGACTTACCATAAAGGTGTCAAGTAACAAAGAATTCTCAATTTTACAAAATACCAACAAGAATTTGCATTATCTAGACTGTATGATTTTATAAAATCACATCCCTTTTAGATACTTTGCATGGTGCCAAGAATGTTGGAAAAGCTCAAAAGGGCTACATCAATTAGTCTCTGCTTTCCACTTATTCATGTTTCACCCTACTCAAATTCTGGGAAATTATAATTTTGGCATTGGAACTTATTTTTGATAGGTAAAATGGTTTTAAAGGGAAGGCACATTATTTGCATAAATAACCATAGTGTATTAGGTTTGCCCAAGTTTTTAGTGAAATATAAAATCTGACAGCTTCTTGCTATCTCAGGAGCGGAAGGAATGAGTCTCAGCAAGAGTGTTTTATAGGCAAAGAAAGTTTCATGCCAATTGAAATAGTTGTATAAAACAGATTGGAAATGAATTGTTTCTTTTTTTAAAACAGTTTAGAGCATTCAGACATTTTCTTTCAACTGTCTAAGAGCTTAGTCATTTAAGTAACATTTTGTACCTACCAAGTGCAAGGCACTCTTGTTAGGTGTTGAGAAGTACTATAAAAATAAATAAAATTCACATTCTACCTTGAGGAACTTACAATATAGGAGAAATGGCACATTTGCAAATAGCTAGCAGTAATGTAATGATTTAATGTTTGCAAAGTGCTTTTTTATCCTCACAACAACGCTGTGAGGTAGGGGTTATGATTATCATCCCCATTATACAGTTGAGGACACTGAGGCTAAGAGAGGTTAGGTGACTTGCCCTGGGTCACACATCTAGTAAGTGTCTGAGATAGGATTTAAATTCAGGTCTTTCTGACTTCAAGTTCCAAGTTCTATCTACCTGGATACCCAACAGCTTAAATATAATACAAAAAGTATGATGTTACATCAAAAAAGTGCAACTATGATTGAAGAGATGAAGAAAGGCTTTTTGAACATGGCTATCATGTTCCTCCTAAGTCATCTGGAGGACAGACATCCCGAGTTCTTTGAACTGTTTGTTACATTCATGATGGTACAGCAGGAAAAGCAGTGATTTGTTGAGTCAGAAGATATAAATTCAAATACCAGCTTTGCTATGTCTGTAATCTAGGGCCAATAATTTCACCTCTCACAGCTTCAGCGTTCTCATCTGTAAAATGAGTATTATGATGTTATATTTTTGAGGCTCCTCAATGATCCTGGTTGGAATACACTCTAGCTTGTCAATACCCTTCCCAAAATATGGAGTCCAGAACCATGCCAGTATGTATGCAGATTAATAGAGCAAGGTTCATCCTAGAGTGTCAAATAAATCTAAAATTTTATACCTGAAAGAGTTAATGGGGGTGGAAAGTACCAGAGCAATTTATACTTAAGTGGGTTACCTTCCATTTTAAGATAAATCTGAAACAATGAGGACATGGCTCTAAATTTTTGAATAAGGCAATGGGAAAATAGGATCTGATTTTTAAAAATGCATCTGTAATTTTCTGGTGGTTGATCTATGGTATGGCATAATTACCATACTTGGTGAGTCAACTTTTAGACAGCAGCACCACCTGCTGTTCACAAAGAATAACAGGATGCTTTAATTTGCTAAGTGTTTTGAAGGAATGTATCCAGTTTTTCTCATATGCTTCAATCTAGATGGGCTCAGCTTTATTAGTTGGCTGTATCTCTTGCCTTTTTCTTGTTTAGTTCTAAGATTAAGGTACTGAATATACACCATTAATCAATTAAAATGTTTCATATGTTTTTATAAGCTTAAATGACGGTCCATTTGTTCAAAGTATTACAACTATAAAATTAATAACTTTCTTTTCTGGAGAAAAAATAATACTTTTGATACTCCAGCAAGAATAGGAGATACTCTACAGCTATTGAGTGTTCACCACTTAATGATCAAAATTTGTCATCATAAGAAAACACACTTCCTTCCTTTATTGAACACAAGCAATGAACCGTGGATATAGAATGTTGTGTATCCTATCAATGTGTTGGCTGACTTTCTTGTTCTGGTTTATAAAAAATGGTGGGTTTGATCATGTAGCCCAAATCCAGGCCCAAGCCTGGCTGTCAAACCAACATCTCTGACAGTTCAAGGGACCATCAATCTCTCCTTTCCTCCAATGCCTCTCCCCATTTCACTAGCCTCCCAGGCGAAGGAAGAGACCTAGGCTCTGACTAGTTCTCTCTGTAAAAACTCTTGGGAGACTCTGAGCTTCTCTCCAATCTGCCACCCAGTACTACCCCAACGGCTTCTCTTGTTTCTCTCCCTAACTCTATAGTAATTAATCATTTAGATTAACAATTTAGAAGATGCTCTACTCCTCCCTTATGTCCCATCCATCTCCTCTACCTCCCTTTACCCATCTCCCAATCTAACCCTACTGATTTCTTTCACTGTGGCCCACTGGAATTTATTCTACAGCAAACAAATTTCTCTTCATTGTAGACTTCTTTCTCTCATTAGTCCACATAGACCTGGCTCCCCTCTGATTACAATGCATCCCTGGCTAACATCCTCAGCACTGGCTATATCTTCTCTCCAACTCCCTATCACACTGGTCTTAGAGGAGGAGTGATGATACTCCTTACTTCCCACTGTCACTTTGCAGACTCTCCTCTTGCTTCCTTCACTTAGAAACCTTTTCTCTTTTAAACTTCACACTACTAAAATTTTCCACCCAAATTAGGGCAGCTGCAGTATACTGACCCTCCCAGGACATTTTTCATGTTTCTTCAAGGAGTTGAGAACCTGACCTATCATATTCTCCTCCCCAACTCATGTCCTCATACTCATGGACTTTATATTTGTGTAGCTGTTCTATCAAAGTCCCTAACCTCCCAATTTACTAGTTCTTCTTTAGTCTCACTTAAGACCAACTCCTTCACTTCACTTTAAGCACACATAATGATAGTGGCAAACTACATTCAGCCAATGAGTAGAAAATCAGACATTTCTCTGTGACTCCATTTCTGTCTATGCTTCTTCCCAATGATATGTTTTTCTCTCTCATTGAGACCTCCAATCTCTCCCAGATTTGTACTTCCTCAGGCCATTACTCCTGCTCTGACTTCACTCACCTCTCTCCACTCTCAACTCAACACTTAGCCATTTCAAGCCTTTGCTGTACCTGGTGTATTGAATACCTTGCTCCCTTTTCCTGTCATTGCTCTTCTTTTACCAAACCTCACCTCTGGATTACTCCCATCATTTACCTCCTCTGCAGCTCCATGTAGAAAGAGGAAATCATGCTGACTGGATACATTACATATTGATATGATCCACCCTCAACAGATGCCTTGAAGCAGCAGTGTGACTTTTATTCCTCTCTGATTAGCCTCACAGAAGCTATTCAAACATCTTCCCTCCTTAAGTCCCTCTATCCTTCTCCTTCAATATTTATTTTACTAAGAAGAAAATCTGAGCCCATTTGATAGTGTGCTCTCTTCTTCCATTCTTTTCATGTCAAAACCCCTCTCCCACTCTGCTCTTTCTGTCAGTCTCTGACAAAGAGGCCCTTCTCTATGTCCAGGGCAAACCTCCTCCATGTGTACTTGATCCCACTCCCTCCCACTCTCTCTAGCACACTGTATCCTCAATCATCTTCTCCCCACAAATATCTCCCCATAAACTTGTTTCCTACCTAGTGCTTTCAAAAAATGTTCCTCCCCCATTCTAAAAAAAGCTTTACCAAATGTCACCATACCCTCAATCTAGCATTGTAAATCTCTCCTTTCTTAGACAAATCCCTTAGAAAAAGTTGTCACTGCCTAAGTTTCCTTTCCTCCAACTTACATCTTAACCTTCTATAATTTGGCTTCTAACCTCATCACTTAACTGAAACTGTTCTCTCAGAAGTTACCATTGATCTGTTGCCAAATTTGATGGTCTTTTTTAGTTCTCATCCTTCTGGATCAGTATATTGATGAGTCGAACATTTCCTAAATGAAAAAAACCTAGTGACTTAAAGAAGATTAAATATTCTCTCCAATCAGAAGAAACACCACAAACATGTTCTAGGTCACATCATAGAAAGGCTACTCAGCAAAGACATAATATTGGTTCAGGTAGACATTGTCTCTCTTATCTTTGTCCATACAAACTGCTTCCAATCAGAAGTGTTGCCTCACATGGCAGAGGAACTTTCATCAAATCAGAGGGCACTAATTGCTGGTGGATGGGATCTTTTATACCCTAAACACCTGGGAAACCACATCAATAGCTCTAAGTTTCAGAGACAGATTCCCTGTCTTTGATGGGAAACTGAGCCCCTCCTAAGTAGCAGAGACCCCAGTACTCCTACCACAAAAGCAAAATAAGATCATTATTTTTATTATACTTCTTTAGTTTGTTCTAAAAACCAGGCCAACATAGTACAAAAAATGAATATAGCATGATCTCAATGCTACATTACAAAGTCATACTATTCAAGGCACACTATGACAACAAAGAAAAGTCCTGAATCCTTAGGACCTAGTGAACTGTTGATAAATATAAATTTTAACAAACTGGCTCAGAAAAATCCACAAGCTGTTAGGGTTTATTGCTTTGTATGTGTGTCTGTGTTCATACCAGCCACCACCAGAATACAAACTTTTTTACCACTTCAAGTACAAAGTCAATATTCTAATCTTGTCTTCAATTAAATATACAGCTGTGAGGGAATAATTTTTTCTTTAAATATTTCACTAGTTCACATCTTGACTGGAGAATCTCAACTTCATGATACGGAATCTGTTAGAAAAATAAATATTTGGCCAAAAATTATTCCATTTGGAGTATGTGAAGGTGACAAGATTCAAATAGCAATGCTTTTAGACATCAGACAATCAAATAATATTTACTGGTGAATGCCCCCTTCTTCCCACTTACACAGCTACAACCTTAGTTCAGGCCCTCATTACCACCTCATCTTAATTACTGCAACAGCCTGATTAATCTCCCTATTTCAAGCTCTCACCACCTTAATCCATCCTATACATTGCTGCCAAAGTAACTTTCCACTGGTGGCCTAATGCCTCTAGGATCAAAGCCTGTTTAGTTTTCAAAGCCCTTCACAACCTGGCCCCAACTTATCTTTTCCAGTATCATACCCCTCCTCCTTTACTCTGTAATTCAGCTAAACTGGCCTTCTCTCTGTTCCTCATATAAAACATCCCATCTCCTGTCTCTGCACCTCCTACAACATTTAAATGCTGGGGAGAAGATACAATATTAACAGCCAAAAACATTTTTTCAAGTAAAAATTATTCAGATATGGAAAGATTTCCATAAAAGTATGATACAATCAAAGGGAAAATTTAATTTTCACAACGTTCATAAATAAAACTTCATCTGTATTTATCTATAATAGATTACGTAGGTAGTTGAATGTTCCACTATTTGAAGTGACTTTCTTGGGTCACTAGGGAGCTCCATGTAATGTTTTCAATAACATTAACTTATTTCAATAATCTTAAATTAAGAATGAACTTTTTGCAGCAAAAATATGTTAAATCATACCTGTATAACTTCATAACCAAGTAATTGTAGGTGTCTTTGTTTAATAGCTTCTTTTCCTAGTAAGTTGTGGCTATCCAAACAAAATCTTTTCCGATCATCAATGCAAAGTGCTAATCTGTACACAAAATAAATGATAAACAGCTAACTTTTTAAAACACCAACAGATTGTGATTAGAAATTCATAGTTTTTTAACCAATCAGATAAGAATATCATTTTAGTATTGTGGTAAAATATAAGATCAAAAGCTATGTGAGGTCTTATATCACCAAAAGCTAAGTTAGAATAAGTTGGTTTTCTCTTAACAACAATAATAGTTAATAATAGTTGGCATTCATGCAATACTTAGTATGTGCCAGGCACTGTGCTAAGCACTTCATAGATCTCATTTGATCTTAACCATCCTGGGAGGGAGGGAGGTGCTATTATTATCCCCATTTTACAGTTGAGGAAACTGAGGCAAACAGGTGAAGTGATATGCCCAGGGCCCCACAGCTACTGTGTATCTGAGGCCACATTCAAACTCAGTCTTCCTGACTACAGGCCTGGTGCTCTACCCACTGGGCAAACTAGCTGCCTTCCAATTTTTTAGCAGAAAGTCATCAGCATTTATTATCTAGCATATTAAACTGCCAGTTTATAATGGAATTTAGATGTCACTATAACAACAGTATTTTGACAATACATCATTATGAACTTAGAATTTAAGTTTCTTGAAGATTGGGACTGTCCTATTTTTGTCTTTGATTTCCCACAGCCTTGCATACAGTGTTCAACATATAACAGGTACTTATTGTTTAATGATTACTGATTTTAAGCAACATGCTTTAATGTGTAACTGCATTTATTATCTGTGATGGTTAAAATAGGGTGGCTATTAAATAAGTATGAAGAAAATAGAAACACGAGTCAAGATTGTTTACATATAATCACAGCTCATCATTAACTGGCTATGTGACCTTATGTTAATTAATTTAGCTTTTGGGACCTTAATTTCTTTATCTATAAAATGAAGGGGCTGGACTAGATATGACCTCTGAGATCTCATTTACCTCAAAGATTCTCTGAGATCTGATTAGAAAAAAAAATAGGGAAGTATATTTTTTAAAAATTCATATAAAGCATAAGATATAGAGACCTTAATTATACTAGCATGGAATCTTTTTAAGGAAAAGACATGTGGCAACTTGCCTTTACAATTCTCATCATGTAAACAACATGCTTTTCTGTACCTTTTATATACATCTTCATCAGTTGTAAATGGTAATACAAATCCTTCTTCATCTAGTTTAATCTCAATATCTGAGTAACAGAAAAAAGGAAAGCATCTTCTTATGTATACATACCATTACAAATAATTGTTTTATTTGTGCTATCTTCCAGTCTTCCAAATTATATTTATTGAAGGCTTTAAAAGCTATGACAATAACCAATGAATATTAAAGTTTTAATATAACATTGATAAAATAAATTAATTCTACAAAAACTATATAGATCTTATTAAAAAAAATTCAGCTTGTTAGTTAACAAAAGGGTCAAGATTCTTGAAGCAAAATGTATTCTTGCTACTAAAAGATCCATTATTATTATTATTATTGTTATTTTTTTATGTGAGGCAATTGGGGTTAAGTGACTCGCCCAGAGTCACACAGCTAGTGAGTGTTATGTGTCTGAGGCTGGATTTTAACTCAGGTCCTCCTGACTCCAGGGCCGGTACTGAGGTCCATTATTTTAATCCTAACTGGTTCTCTGGAAACCAAAGAAGAGAGGGCTTGTCATAGGGAATGGAGTACTAGACTTTGGAAGACCTGTATTTGAATCCACCTTCAGAAACTTCTGGGCTGTTAGATCCTGAGCAAATCATTTAACCACCTGCAAACATTAAAGTGCTCTATAAATGTAAGTTATCTGTTCTAGCTTAAGTAGGCTTAGCAACACTAAAGCAAGTAGTATGAATCTTGGGCTTTGACGACTGTGGTTAAATCCATACTACATTTTTTCCTTTCTCCTCCATTACATATCTAATATGACATACTCAATTGAGTTCAGTGAGGGAGTAAGGGAGTGGTTTTAACTTGTGATTTCATTGGTGCAGAGAAATCCCAGTATAGAAACTCTCTCCATTCTACTAATTCAGAATGGCAATCTGAAACCAGCAATGTATATTTCAGTTGTACGATCTGAACTATCTACCTGATTCTGAGGCAAGTTCTCCATTTATTATTCTAAGGGCCTCAGATTTTAGATGAAGATTTGAAAATAATTAAACAAATACACAGAAACCAAAGTAGCATACTTCTTATGACTAGCACTTACCATAGTATATTTACCAGCCCCTAAAGCTATCCTGTAGCAGAACTTCTAGTGAATAGGAAATGTAGGGCTCAGTGACCTATAAAGTCACTTACAGGTTTAAAGTCTATCTATGATCCTATTACAATATACTTCAGATAATGTCCCAATTCTGTCATTAAGACATTATCACCCAAACATAATGTGAAATGCACTGTCACCTACACCCTGAAGCATTCTTCTATGTCATGTGCTATAGTACCACATTAAGAGGACTATACCTATGGGCTTAATTCTGTTCTTGACTACAGATCCTCAGGCTTCATGGCAACACTGGAGATTTCTACATTCTGTTTCCCTGTAGTTTAGTGCACATGTTATTCCATGCCACAGTGTGAAGCAGACTACTTTCTGTAGGCTAAGATATGCTTCAAGGGAAGAGCCCCTCAGAATAGCAGCGCTGTTCATCTGCTTGATGTTTTCTTTTCCTTCTCTGAAAATCTTTCCCATTGCTAATCTTTTAATGTGTATTTTCCCCCACTGTGATATAATTTCCTTGAGGAGGGTTTAAATTTATTGTAGTTCTGTATGTGGTCTCTATTAAAAAATAGGATTACTGAAATCTCAAAATGGTAATGAATAGATTTTTAGCTTACCTAGTGTGTAACAACAGGGTGTTGAGACTCTTGAAGCAAAATATATTTTTGCTTTCAAAAGGTCAATTAGTCCAACTGTAACAGTTTTATAAAGTTGAAGATCCATGGGGGTCTCCAGCAGATAAGGTGGAATGAGAAATGATTTCACTTGATACTGTGGAAGCAGTTTAGGTCCCTATAAATTATAAACATACACAAGACTAATAAAATATATGACAAACCTTTTTAAATTAGTGAAGAACTTGAATAAAATTACATTGCCTTTGAAAAATAAAGAATGAACCTTCCAGAATAAACCTGTGATGCTCATTTGCAGAGATGCCTTACTAAAAAGAGAACCACAACTGTTCCTAATAAATATTAATTGAATTATAATAGCTAAGGAATATTAAGTTTGATGCCTTTTGTCTTTACAACATATTTATTTCATTACCCTTCCCACCTTCCTCTATCTTTCTCTTTTAACAGATAATCATTCAGAGGCAAGTCTAAAGAATATGACAGAAGATCAAACCGGGCAATGTCAGTTTGGATGTGTATTAGTATAACAAACGCCTTTTCAGCCTTATTTCACATTGTTTCTCTTCATTCACTCTACACTGCATGCAAAAGATGCCATTAGCTGTTCTCCTCAACTGGTATTTCCTATTTCTTCTGTTTCTTTACATAAAGCGTTTACAATGTCTAGACATACTCTCTCTCCACCCCCCCCCCCATTTACCTTGTGATTCCTTATCTGTGAACAGGGACCTTGTCCCTAAATGAATGTACACTTCAACGTCCTTGAAGATGTTCTCTCATTTCTGTCTTTGTACTGCCAGAGTCTAACACTATGCCTCCCTTAAATATAATTAAGTGCTTAATAAAGGTCTATGGAACTGAATTTCATTTTAGCATGACTACAAATTAATGATGCCAAATTTCTTTTGCCTTATAAACTAATTCTGAAGACTCAAGAGTTTCAAAAGTGGCAGTAATGTAAGTATATATATACACAGAAGCCTCCCAGAGTGTTAACACTGATTACTTGCTATGTTGGTCCAAAAAATCAGTTTCATTATTTTATAGCCACTTCCTATAGGTGCATCCATTCCACCATATTTGGTGAGGGAAACAACTCCTAACATTTCTTCAAGTCAAGTATACATAACTAAAATCATATATGATCTCCAAAGCTTTCAGCTGTGTTAAAGAGGCAAAAAGGAAAGATAGCTAGATGAAAATATAAGAAATGGTTTAAAAACTTGGAAGCTTTCCCAAAGGAGGCTTTAGAGTTGAAAAGCTCCTACATTTAAGCACTTCCTAGGCAGCTAGGTAAGCTGTGTTTCTTCAAAGGACGTGCTTCTCCAACTATTTCTCCTTTGATATCTCAGGACACATATTACCTTTCACCTAAAGAGAAGCCAGCCTGCAGTGAAAACTATGGAAACTAATAACTATGCAAATTTGATCAGTTTATATAGTCCACAATTTGTAACATATCAAATAGATACCTAGGGATTCAACACTAGTCAGAACTATCACATAAGGATTCTTATAATACCCACTGGACATCTCTATCATTATTGAGAAATAATGAGTTAAGATATCTTTAAAGATAAAGTGAAAAAAACTTACAGTTTATAGTGTTTAGTTTAGAGAAGAAAAGGACTAAGGAATGGTAATCACTGACATCAAGTATAAGAAAGGTTTTCATGGGGAGAATATAGGGCATTTGAATATTTTTCTGTATACAAAAAATTAATCAAATGGAAATGAACTTAAGGCAAAAGAGATTTGCAAGAGAAATTTAAAAAAAGCAGCGTTTAATTATCACAGCAACACAAAATACTAAAACAATGTAATGGGTTGCCAAGGGAAAAAGTGAAATTTCCTACCTTATAGAAGGGACACTCCAAGACCACTGTTAAATAAAGCTGGGTCAGTTGGGCCTGCCTTGATTTATTTAAATCCATTTCCTGAGCTTAAACGAAAAGCATCAAAAGCCAAGTTATTTTTAAGATTTCTAATGCAGCCAAAACTACAAAGGGTGATGAAGGTATATACAATCATTTACCGTAAAATATGACTAATGTATTTTTATGAGATTAAACAGAGAACAGCCTAACAGCTGAATGTAGCTTGTCCTTTCAAACAAGTTACTTCTAAGCAATAAAGGTCCTGGCTCTAAATCTATTCTTAATAAAAGTCATAAAAGAATTAATGTCATTCTACATAATTTTCATTACTTACAATGCCTATAATCATAACTCATGCTTATATGATTCTTTAAGGTTTGCAAAGCACTTTCCTCAAACAACTCTGAGAAGCAGGTACTACAAGTATCATTATGCCTGTTTTACCAAAAGCTCCAAGAGGTTAACAGACTTATCAAGCTAGTGAACTTGAAAGCAGAAATCCAACCCAGATCTCTGCTGACTCCAAGGTCAGTACTTTTTCCACTACATTCCATTGCCTTTCACTACAACATGCTACCCTGTGGTTTCCATACACTAGTAGTAGGTGTAAAAACATCATTTCTTCCCTTGTGCAAAAAGATTCACTAACTCCCTATTGCAAACACGACAAAATAAAATTCATCTAGCCTGTTACTTAAGACCTCCCCATCTGGCATCAGTCTACCTTTTCAGACTATTCACACTGCTCACCTTCATTCAGCAAATATTCTAGCCTAAACAGATTTGATAGCTATTTCCTGAACCTGGCATACTACCACTTACATTTATGCATTCCTGAAGGCCATCCTCTGCCATGAAAGTCTTCCTTTCATCATCTATACCTTTCAAAATCTCTTTACCTTCAAGGCTTAGCTTAGATGCCACCTCCTCCAACAAGCTGTCCCCAATTCCACTGACTAAATGTTATCACCCACCTCAAATTTTCTTGCACCCACTACTCCCTACTTTGTAACATGCTTATCCAGGCACCTGTTTTACAACCTTCTGCCTCTACCCAAATTAGAATAGAAACCCCTCAAAAGCTGTCTTATTTTTAAATCTTTGAATTCCTGATGCTTAGCATGGTGCCTTGTATCTAGCCAGCACTTAATGTTTATGAACTGATCTCAGAAATGAATGGAAAAAGTCTATAGAGGAAAAACTTGTTCTTTCATGCAAGTTTTAAAGCATGTTACTGAGGTTATTACTTTTCCTGGGAATACAAATACAGTATGTACCCTACAAACTGAATGTAGAATGTGGAACTATTGTATGATTTTGACATAAGGCCAAAAATCATTATGCTATAGATAAAACTGATTTTGAATAGTCTGTCACATCTTTTATTTCTTGATCACATAATCATTCCATCCTGCCACGCCTCATGACTTCCTTTAGTATTTTAAAATCTGTAGCATGATGATGCAAATGAAATTGACTTAACCTGTGTTAGATATTAACACCAGGATTTTAGAGATACTTTAGAGATAGCCCCCTCGCATTCAGATGAAAAACAGAATATTTGACTGATAATCAGAGCACCTGGTTTCAATCCTGACTTTCCATTAAAGTTTTAGGTTTGTATCCCCAGTTACTTTTTAGATAATTTGAACTACATATCCAACAGACATCACAAACTCAGTATATCCAAAACAGAATTTACTTTCCCCACAAAGCCCCTCCTCTTTCAAACTTTCCTATTACTATCCTCACAGTCATAACAACCTCAAAGTCTTCCTCCACTCCTGTGTCTCACTTTCACTCCTATCTTTTACCAACTCTTGCCCCCTTTCTCCACTCACACAGCCACCACCCTGGTGCAAATCCTTTATCGCCCGGACTACTGCAATATCCTTCTGATTGGTCTCCCTGACTCAAGTTTTTCTCTACTTCAGTACATCCCTTCACTTAGCTACCAAAACGACTTTCCTAAAAGCATAGATCTGACTATGTTACCAATATTGTTTAATAAATTCCAGTGGCTCCCTATTGCCAAGATCAAATATTAAATCCTCAGCTTGGCATTTAAATAAAGCCTTTCACAACCCAGCCCCTTCACTTCTCTTTCCTTGTACATGCCGCTCCATTTTCAAAGTCCATGCCTTTTCACTAATTCTCCCCATGCCTGGAACGTTCTCCTTCCTCACCTCGGCCTGCTGGATTCTTTTAAGACTTAGCTCCTATCTCACCTTCTGCAGGAATCCTTTCCCAGTCTTCCTCTTCACCACCCCAGTCTCTTCCCTCTAGGATTACCTTTCATTTGTACTGTATATATATTCTATGAACATTTAATTGCATGTTGTCTCTTCTATTAGAATGTGAGCCTTTCCTTGTAACCCCAGTGCTTGTTACCATAGTGACTGGCACATATCAAGTGCTTAATGCTTGTTGACTGACTTGTTGACTCTGCCACTTACTACCTTTGTGACTTATGGCAAATCCTTACAGTCTTTTAATCTCAATTTTCTCTTCTGTAAAACGAGAGAGTACATGGCCTTTAAGGTTCTTTTCACCTTAGAAAGTTAGGTCCAAATGTCTCAAACACCAAGGCTCAAGAGAAAAATGGAATACACATATGGAACCTGAAGAGTACCACCAATCTAAGAAAGATAAATTCTTGCTCAGTTAAAAACCTTTTTGAACTGTACCTTTCTGAACCAAAAGCTAACAAAGCTCTTCCATGATGGTAGAAGTTATCTGTGAGTAACTTACCTTGTAATTTCTGAAGAAAATATGGGCTAAATAACTTTGCCACATAATTGACTGGGTGGCGTCCAATGAGGGTACATGAATGGAGAAGATTCAACAGGGCTTGAGGAGGAAAATATTTAAATCGAGTTCTTATTGTATTTTCAAGCTTCCTAAAAAAAAGTGGAGCGTTTGGGGGCAGGTAATTGAGTTTCCCAAACGGTACAATCAACTGAGAAACCTGGACAGGGGAGAATATTTCACCTTGGTAAATAAAACTTTCTGCCACTGCATCAAAGATAGGTTTTGAAAGAATCAATTTTTTACTGCAGTACTGCATGACTTTGCTGACGGTCTCAGGATGCATAGTGAGACAACATGTGGAAACATGTTGTTCCAGGGCTTGCATGAAAAATTTGTCAGTGTAACCGAAGTGCATAAAACCATCTAAGACTTTTCCTAGCTCTTCATTGGTAAAATGAGAGACAAATCTTACCGAATGCATACAGAGCTTTATAACCAAAGGAAAAGCTCGAGTTTGGTTGAGAGCCACCAAAGCATTCAGTATTTGGCTTGTGATTTTAGGACTAAATTTATAAACCAATGAAATAGAGAGGTTGTTTAGCTGATCCAAAAAGTCCTGATGCTGAACCACTTCTCCAACAGCAGCTTGAAGCAATGTATAAACTGCTACTATCTCCTCAGGTGCATATTCTTGCAATTTTTTACCTTGAAGCTGAAGTATAATATCCTTTAGCATTGCACAGTTTGAGTTCTGGAGTTTAATCACACATTTGCCAAGAATACAAAGGTTATGAATTGTCATATGACCCTGCTGAAGCCGATTTTGGCACTCTGTCACCAGACTTACTAGTAGATTACTCTGGGGATCCACATGTAATCCTGTCAAAGCTTGCAAAGTAGTCACTAGACCAGTGTCTGAAAGATTTGTGGACTCATATTCAAACTGAAAGCATAATGCTCTGAAGATCTCATTCTCCAAGACTGTTTTTGAAATTTTTTGGTTACCTTCTTCCTGTTCCACTTCAGAGACCCGATACAAAGCTGCTGCTGCCATAGTATCTGACAATGTTTCCAGTGTGCTTACAAATTTTAATACCTGTTCAGATGAAGTGAAAGTATTTAGTTCCTTATAAAACCTCTGTTCATCCACATGATCCTTGTTTGGTTCAAACCTGTTCCATGCCGCTGTTTGAAAAAGCACAGATCTGCCAACTGGGTAAAGTTTACTCTCTTTTTCTGAGTGATGCTTCTTACAGTATGCATGATGAAAGTAGACTCTGAATTGCTTTTGTTGCAGGGAAAAATACCCCTGACACAAGATTTTCCTGCCTTTTGGGTGTTCAGGGATCAAATATTTTCTTAGACATGTCAAAATTCTGCAAGTGTGAAGGCCAGATGAATAAAAATGAGACGCAAGTGAAGTGATCAAGGCCATATGTGATGATTATTGTAATAGGATCAGCTGCCCATCTTGAGCACAGCCTAGAATAAAAATGAGAAAATAAAGCCAAGATGGTAAAACTTTACTTCCATTTTCTCAGAAGCATCCACATAACCACAAAATAAATCATTCAATTATTTATGATACTGAGGATTCTGCAAGAGAGGAAACGGAGATAATAAAATTGAACATACAGCCTAAATGAATAATAGCTGACACTGAATGGCACTTTAAGATTTGCAAAGCGCCTTGCAAGCAGTATCTCATTCAACCCTCTTGACAATTCTGTGTGGCATGTAATGCTGGGACCACAATACAACTGAAGCTAAAATGCTTGCCCATGGTCACATAATAAACAGTGTGAGTAGGCACTGTTTCACACTTCGTATTCCCAGTACCTGGCCCAGAACCGGCCCAGTAAGCTTAATAAATGCTTTTTGATCAAAAAGTCAGAATTTGCACTTGGGTTTCCCTTATTTCAGACTTACCTCTCTGTCCACTACACCACAGCTGCCTTTAAAGAGTCAATGAGTTAATTCCACCCCAGTTTCTCATAAGTTTCAAAGTTAACTCAATTTTGGATAAATCAATGCAAAACATAAAGCATGAGGAATGTAAATGTAGATCAAATGTTCTTCCACTGGGGGAAGGGCTGATTTCCTCTAGACTCCAGATGAAAGCAGAAGGAAAGAGGAGAAAAAGGGAAATTAAAGCATGTGCAGAAAGAGGGAGCGAAGGGAAAGGCCCACATGGTCACGCAGAACATCCCACCGTCAAAATGACTCCATTCCCCATCTCCTCTTTTAAGATTTGAAAAGTCAGAAAGTCTGGACACTTGACAACAACTAACCAGGAACAAGGTATCCGCCCGCACGTGCGCACGAGCAGTCTCATTGACGCACGCACACTCTGATCCTCTGACGGCCCTTCTGCCTGGCCCCTCCCTTAAATCCCGACGTGCCTTGCTTCACTCACTAGCAGTCACAGTTTGGAATGGGACGTATGCAAAATGATGCACTGCGGCAAACTACATTTCCCACAAAACTAAGAGAATGCCTACAACTCCCAAGGTGCCTCCGTCTTAGCTCAGCCCTAACTGTAGTCTCTCAGACTGACAGATTGAGGCTCGCCTTTCATTAGTCGAAAATTCACCGGCGTACAGAAGGGCTGGGCATGCGCACTCCGTAGTTACTCCAAACAGGCCGCCCTTTCCAGCCCCAGTGTTCAGGTGCTGCATGAAGCCGGAACCAAGTGAGGCCTGCGCCACGGTACACCTAGTGGATGTTTCCTGGTGAAGTAGTGTGGAACAGAGAGGAGGGTCAGAGCGGTACCTGAGGCTCAAGAGCAAGTCAGACCCACTCCATAAAGCGGTCCAACCCGTGACCTCCGGTGGTTCCTCAGACACGTAGTGTGCTCCGACTGGAGGCTGGGTGCTCAACCGGATCAGAACCAGTGTGAGAACGGAGCTTTGGCTGCCGCGGACGGGAAGGGCCTGGATACGGCCGCGGTAGGTCGGGAGGCTGGGCTTGCGAGCTCCGGGGCCTCAGGAGGTGCTCAAGAAGCCCGGGCTCAGTGCCAGCGAGGAAGGTGGGCATCGCCGCCCTGGGGAGCCTTTTTCCGAGAGGGCAACCCAGGGGCATTGTGGGACAAAACGGCATTCTCGTGGGCCTTGTGGGAAACGTAGTTTTCCGAGTTGTCTCTTGTTTTCCCCCCCAACCCCCCCTGTACTTTCCACACCATTTTGAATGTGGCTCATACTGTGCCTCTGAACTTTGACTTTTCTGCTTTTATTTTTTCATCTCAACTTACGCTACTCTCCAGATTTCTTAATTTCTTTCGTTCTTTCGCTTTACTTGATTTTTTTCTCTTGTTGTTTTCTCCTTTCTGGCACACCTCTCCACCTACTGTAATTCCAGCCCAGGAAATGGGGGAGGAGTGGAGGGAAATGACAGGTCCTAACATTTAATGCTGAAAAGTGCCTTAGAAATCAATGAGACCTTTTTGTAGATGAGGAATGGTTGACCGAGGCCCTAAATGTGACCAGGATCACTGTGATAGCAATAAATTAGGATTTGAATCCAAACCCATAAGTAAAAGCCTTCTTTAGTTAGGTAGATAGATAGATTGATAGATAGATACATATAGAGATAGAGATAGGGCAGATAGATAGTGAAGTGGATAGATCACCAGGCCTGGAATCGGGAAGGCTTAAGTTTCCTCACCTGTAAAAGGAGCTGGAGAAGGAAATGGTGAACCATTTTAGTATCTTTGCCAAAAAAACCTTAAATCAGGTCAAGAAGAATTGGCCATGATTGAACAACTAGGAGGTATAGAGATATATCTCTGTAGATTCATAGATTACATACACTGCATAAATATAGGCATATTTCAGTCTGGTTCAGTTCCAGACCACTGCAATAAAGCAAATATCACAATCAAGGGCATCACAAATTTGGTTTCCCAGTGCATATAAAAGTTGTGTTTACACTATACTGTAGTCTATTAAATGTGCAATAGTTTTATGTCTAAAAAATGTACATGCCTTAATTAAAAGATACTTTATTGCCAAAAAAAAAATGCTGACCATCATCTGAGCCTTCATTGAGTTGGAATCTTTTTGCTGGTGTGACCCTAGGCAAGTCACTTAATCTTTGTGTGCCTTAATCCCCTGGAGAAGGAAATGACAAACCACCCCACTGTCTTTCCCAGGAAAACCCAATAGACAGTATTGATGTGATATGATCCACAGGGTCACGAAAAGTTGAACAACACTGAACAGTTAACAATCCAATCCTTCCTGAACTCTCAAAAGACTCTGATGCTGTCAGTCACTTCTTCTGGATACCTTTTAGGTTTTCCAGTTATCTTAATACCTTTCTGTCTTTGTTCTCCAACCTATGTAACCACTCCTTCTTTGTTTCTTGGTTGGATCTTCATTTGGGCCATGCTTACTATGAGTGTCCATGGTGTTCTATCCTGGGTCTCCTTCTCTCTATATACTATTTTACTTGGTGATCTTCTTAGCTCCCATGGATTAAATTATTATATCTATTCACATGGTTTTCAGATCTGTTGCCCCTCCCTCTCTTGACTTCCACATCTCTACTTGCCTGTTAAATATCTCAAACCATATATATCCCATAGACATCTTAAACACAATACATCTAAAACTGAAATCATCTTCCACCTTGCTCCCTACCCCCCTTCACCCCAAACCCTCTCTTCTCCCTAACTTCTCTGTTGCTGTTGGGTACCACCATTGTCCCAGTTACCCAGGCTCACAAACTAGATGTCATTCTCAATTCTTTAGTTTTTCTCATCCCCTAATATCCAATGTGTTGCCAAGCCCATTGATTTTACCATTGTAACATCTCTCACATATCTTCCCTTTTCTCTTCTGACAATGACACTGCCTTGGTAAAGGCCATATACCTCACACCTGAACTATTGACATAACCTCCTGATTGGTCTCCTTACCCAGACCATCCTCAGCTCAGCTGTCAAAGTGATCTTCCTAAATCACAAATCTAACCATGTCATCCATAAATGGCTTCCCCACCTTCAGGATCAAATATGACATCTTGAAGCATTCCACACCCTTCCTTATCTGCCATTCCCTCACTTTCCCTTTTCAGTGTTCAGTTTTCTCACAATTATATATCTCAAGCAACACATATGTCTTTTCTGAAAACTGGCCCCTTCTGATCCATCAGTTATTGTTTCCATGTTCCTTTGATTGTTTACAGATACTTGGGGGGAGTGCGACATCTCTTTTTCTGATTTCAGGGAATTTATACTTGTTTACTCTCCCTCTCTCAACTTTCCCACAATTAGAAATCAGATTACCTGATGTTCGGTATCCTGGTTAATTGTTTTCTTTTAACTAATTTGTTTTATTTGATTAATTGTTTTTCATGAATAAAAGTCTGTCTATCCCTGTATTTGAGGTCCAGGCCTAAACTCAGGAGGTTTGGTCCTGGTTTGTTCGGTAATTGCCATGCATTGCTTAATAAATTGATGTGCTTGGAAAATTGAACCTTTGTTTCCTAGTCATTTCATCTTTCCCCTGCCACACAGATTGGGAACTGAGGCAAAATGACTTGCCCAGGGCCACACAATAAGTGTCTTAAGACCTGATAAGAGCTCATGAAGATGAGTCTTCCTGATTCCAAGCTTAGTATTCATCATGGGAAAAGAACTGGAGTCAAAACAAAACAAAACAAACAGGTCGTCTTTGTCCCTTCTGTGGTTTCTGGTTAACCTCTTGGCTTCGTTTTTTTTTTTTTTTTCCCATGTATAAAATAAAGTATTGAATGGTATGGTCACTAAAATCTCATCTATCCCTAAAATTCCTTGATTCCTAAAAATGAATGCAAATATAAACCATTTGAACTTAATTCTTTTTGTATTGTATAGGAATGTTTTTGCACTTCTTGACAAATACACTTTTTAAGTAGTTTGTCTTCTTCTATTGGTTTATGGGGGGGGAAATGAATCTGCTTTGTTTTTCCTTTCTGCAGTACAGTTGACTTGTTAACGTGTGGTATGAAACAATGAGAAGATTTTTGTTGCTTTATGCTACACAGCGTGGACAGGCAAAAGCCATAGCAGAGGAAATAAGTAAGAAAGCTGGTGAACATGGATTTTTTGCAGATCTTCACTGTTTGAGTGAATCTGACAAGGTGAGAGATCACCAAATCATTTTGCTGCATTGGAGAATAGATATGCAAGTGAGGAAGAATCCAGGTTTCCTGCTTCCCAGGATGTTTTGTTTACCAATCTATTGCCTGTATCCTTACCTTTGAAGACCATGGAAAGCAACATTGAATTTATAATAAAATAACATTTTAGAAGGCTACATTCCCAAGATGTTTTAGAATGTTGTTGTAGGCATCCATATACTTTGTTAAAAAAAAACAGAAAAAAATAGCTGTATGTGTATATATATATATATATATATGTATATATGTGTGTGTGTGTGTGTGTGTGTGTGTGTGTGTGTATATAAATTGCTCTTTAAGCAAGTTGTTTTTCATCCAGATGTAAATGGAAAGTCATTAACTTCCTAGTCCATGGTAGTAAAGAACAAACTCTTAGGAAGCTGAGATAGAGAAATCTTATTTTTATTACTTTTCAAAATGTTTTTTAATAATTTTTTTAATATCCAGATTTATATGTTTAAAATACAATAAATGGACTTGGGAGGGATTCTTTAAAACAGTTTGAGATAACTAGAGACAATGGATTGTGCCTTTTTTAATGTATAACTCCCTGATACTTTTTAAAAGTGAAGGACTTAATAGATTCTGCATTTATAAAAAGCAAATAAATGCTGCATTTTGAGCTTCTTTAAATTTTCCTGTTCATAGTATAGCTATTAACTATTAAGAACTTTATCCCATTGTGTAAGTTACTTTAATTAAACACAGAAGTAATCACCTAAAACTTTTTAGATAGGAAAATTTTATAGGAAAATTTTAGCTGTCAGAATTCTTAGATAATGAGTTTTTATGAATACTCAAGTTTCCTTAATAACCAGAACTTTTCATTTTTATTTTTTTTCTGTCTTTTAATGTAAAATTTTCAAAAACAACTTACAGTCTTCCTTGTCTTTTGTCTTATGCCATCAATGGCCCTAGGCTGAAGTCCCACAAAGCTACTGCATAGTGGTGATGCCCAGTGCTTTCAAGGGCTCTTGCAATGTTTCAACTAGTAACTCTACGGGCAGATTTCAGAGATCTGATATAGAGCATCACATTTACTCATCAGAACACTAGCAGACGTTAGGATTGTTTTGATGGAAATCATGAGGAAATTCAGACACTACTAAATGAAAAAATGAGAACTCCCCAGGGTTTACCAGCTGGATAGTTTATTTGTCTCTAAGAAGACAGCATTTAACTTGATCAAAAGTAAAGTGCAAGTAAAACTTAGAGAGTTCCAGGATTCTTGGCTCAGTAAAGAGGCAGAAGAAATTCATTTTACTCTGATAGTAACAATCCAAAGTGCTTCTTTGATATCCTGAAGGCTATTTATAGGCCAAAGATCTATGATGCATCTCAACTATTTAGTGCTGATGGAGCCACACTGAGCAGTAATAAGGACATGATCTTGGAGAGGTGGGCTGAATACTTCTGTACTGTCCTCAACAGACTGTCATCAACCAATGCAGAAGCCATTGACCATATACTTTAAGTTGAAGTTAGTGCCTCTGTAGCTGTAATTCCAAATGAAGAAGAGGTTTAGAATGCCATTGGGCTCCTCTCACTGGCAAAGGGCCTGGTGTTGATTGCATCTCAACAGAGATATAAGGCAGAGGGTTCACTGCTCATACAAAAGCTGACATAAAGTTATCCCCCAGAAGATCTAGGATGCCTCCATTGCCCATCTCTATAAAGGAAAAGGAAATAGGTTGTCCTATGACAATCACAAGGGAGTGTCTCTCTCTTAGTCATTACTGGCAAGATTGTTGCCAGAGTCCTTAATTGGCTGATCCTTCACCTCAGAGATGGTCGTCTACCCAAGAGCCAATGCAGCTTCAGAAAGATTTGAGGAATAGTCCATATGGTGTTTGCTGCCCAACAACTCCAGGAAAAATGCCAGGAGGACAGAAGTTTGTACACAATATTGGTCAATCTGACCAAGGCCTTTGATATTGTCAATTGTGAGGGCTTGTGGAAGATCATGGAAAAATTTGGTTGCTTTTTGAAGGTTATCAGTATACTTCATCAGTTTACTTGACAACATACTTGCACGTGCTCTGGATAGTGGACCATGCTCTTGCACTTTCCCTAGTCACCAGGGGAATGAAGTACAGCTGTGTGTTTGCTCTCATGCATTTTAGCATGATGATTTCGTCGATGTTATCAGAAACCTTCAACGAGGACAAAAATGGCATCAGTCAGTTACTTTACTGATGGTAAATTATTTAACTTGAAAAGGCTACAAGCCAAGACCAAAGTGGAGGGAGAGTTGGTACACAACTTTTTGTTTGCAGATGATTGTGCACTCAGTGCAGTCTCTGAGGCTGAGAGGCAATGGAGTATGGATTGATTCTTTGCCAATTATGGTAATTTTGCCCTAGCAATTAATACCAAGAAAACGGGTTCTCCACTAGCCAGCGCCACCACCATTCATACATAGAACCATCAGTTACAGCAAATGGAAAAATTTTGAATGCTGTGGATAAGTTCACTCTCGTTGGCAGTATAATTTCCAGGGTTGTACACATAGATGATGAAGTTGATGCCAAAGCTATCTTTGCATTTGGGAGGCTCTAAAAGAAAGTATGGGAGAGAAGAGGTAAACTGAAGGTCTATAGATCTATTGTGCTGGCCTCATTGCTGTATGCCTGTGAAACCTGGATATTCTATCACCACCATGCCAGGAAACTGAATTACTTCCATTTAAATTGTCTCAAGAAGATTCTGAAGATCACTTGATTAGATAAGGTACTGAACACTAAGGTCCTTTCTTAAGCTGAACTGCCAAGCATTTAGACTGTGCTGCATAGAGCATAATTCTAATGGGCTGGCCACATTGTCCAAATGCTGAATGTACGTTTGCCTGAAAGACTGTTTTGCGGAGAGCTCCTACAAGACAAGCTATTGTCAGAAGTGGAGGTCAGAAGAAGCAATACAAGGACTCTCTCAAGATCTCTCTGAAGTACTTTAGTATCAGTTGTATGACATGGGAGACAGTGGCATAGAACCATCCACAATGGTGTACCCTTATCAAGGAAGGTACTGTGCTCTATGAGCAAAGCAGAATACGGTATGTCTAAATGTACAGAGACATCTCCTTCCAAAATGTTTATATGGACTATTTGTGCCCAACCTGTGGTGGAGCCTTCTGAGCTCATACTGGTTTGCTCAACCACAGTCAGACACACTGTACATTGATCCCAATGTAGTGATGTCATTTTGGTCCACTTTGAGTTCTAAAGGACAACAACAAACCAATGCCTTCAATGGCCCTGGATTGAAGTCCTCCAAACCCACTACACAGTAGAGAGACAGGGCCCTGTGCTTTCAAGGAGTTATTGCAGTGTTTTGACAGGTTGCCCTTTCTTTCCCTTCCCTCATTCCCCGTCTTCCCCCCACCCCCCCAGGCATCTTGTCTTCTTATCTTAAGAGTTTCTGTTGTCTGTCTTACTATCTCAGTTTGCTATCAGACTTTCTGTTCCCTGATCCTTCCATTCAGAAATGATCTTTCTTTCCTTGGATTTTCATGTTCTAGTTTGTTATTATGTTTGTGTCATGTGTCCCTGACTATTCCAAGCTACATTGTAAGCTGCATGAGGACAAGGACCATACCTTGTGTACTTTTGTGTCTCCTCCTAACTAGCACAGTGTTTTGCACATAGTAGTAAGTGCTTTCCAAATGTTTGTATAATTGAATCTCCTGCTGTTCTCATAGCTATAGTCATATAATGCCTATGGAAAAAGTTTTATGTGCCACTGTTAGTGGAAAAAAATGTACATAAATGAGAAATGTAAATAAGTGTAACATTAATATTTTCTGAGCAAGTGAGAGAGGAGGATAATTGTGTGTGATTAGGTATGGGAAGATTGTGATTATTATGGAGAGACCAGAAGTATGTTCTAAACTGTTCTAGCCTTCTTTGACTTTTTATGCCTTTAGTAGATCTATTCTTAAATTAAGTTCTACCTTATAAAAAAAGGTTATGTTATCAGAGAAACACACTTGAAAATATTCAATGTTTCAGCCTTGTAACATAAATATAAAACAGTGGGTAAGAGAAAGTCTTTTAACCTCATAATGGCTTGTTACTGAATGCTTTTAAGAGATGGATTGAGCATCATCCCATGTGTTATCAATTTGTAGAAACTGAGAAGGTATAACTAGTACCTTCATGTATATGAAACAAAAAGTGTGACAAAGCCAAGGAGAAAACTGTTAAAGCAGATTTTTTAGTCTGATAGTTATAAAAATGTAAATATACTGGATTTTACTAAAGGAATATTCTTGTGTTTTTAGTATGATTTAAAAACAGAAACAGATCCACTTGTTGTTGTTATTTCTACCACTGGCACTGGAGATCCACCAGATACAGCAATCAAGTTTGTTAAGAAAATTAGAGACAAAACTCTGCCACCTGATTTCTTCTCTCATCTACGGTATGGATTACTAGGTAATAGAAGATAATTTCCTCTTGATTCATTGTAGTAACACTAATTTCAAGACAAGTATAAAAGCAAAGGCTGTAATTCTGTATTTCAAAAAGGCTGAACACTGAAGAAAATATATTTTTCTAGTCTGAAATAGTTTTTTTTCTTATTTACACTTGGAGCAACAATTGAAGGGTATATTGGTTTAAAATGCTTTCTAAGTAAAATATTTAGTATGAAATTTAAATGTGGAACTTGTGTTTTGGTCTTATTGATTGCCAAACCATTACCATGTAGATTTTTTTTCATAAATTAAAAATATTCCTTAAAGGGAGATAGCAGTGTTGTATAGTTCATTAATATTTTTGCATTTAGTCACAGATGTAGACACAGATGTAGAATCCAGAAACCAATGATTTGCACATTCGCAAACCTTAATTAAGGTTTAAATTAAATTATTCTTACCTTCTTGACAATTGAGAGGTTGGGGAGGAACACATGAGTGTGATCCTTGTGGGAAAAGAGAAGAAAAGTCCCCTATTCTGAAATAATTCCTTTATTTGTGGAATTGAGCTGTGTTCAGTCAGATGCTCTTTTCTGCAATGTGTAGACTAATGGCCGAGAGAAACCTTTCAGGAAGGGGACCTAACTCAGTCTCAGGAGGCATATTTTTCAGTCAATTACACAGGCCTAGTTAAGTAGACAGGAGTGTCTAAGAAAGCCATTGAGCTGTGTCTTCCCAAATGCTCATAACCAGCTCACTGGAGCCTGGATATACATCAATTATGCATACTTTCAGGTGAGTCAATAAAGTGATAGATAATGCAGAGGAATTATGGGGCAGAAGTAGCTGTTTTAACTCGTAAACCCTTAGAAAGGTAACATAGTTATAAAGCTTGATTTGGTCGGTGCTTAACACAATCTCAAGCATGACTTAGTGCTTTTCAAAGATGACAGGAGCTTTGTTTGAAGTTCCTACTGAAGATTTCAAATTTTTAATTTAGAACTTAGCTAGAACTTTGTCTTGGGCAGCAAATATGGAGAAGAGTGATTAGATTTAGGCAAATTACAATGAACAAAATAAAATTTGTCTTTCTTTCAAGTTCCTGACTATAATAGTCACAGTAAATTTTAAAATGACTAGGATTTCATGGAAAATAACTAAAAGAATCACTTTCAGAGCTAAAGCCAACTTAACAAGCAAATGACATTGCTTATAAAGTCAATTTAGAAAGCCAAATAAATTAATGCAAACTGAATCAAGAGACAAAGAACTACCGTGCTATAAATTTTAATAGGATTTTGCCTTTCCCACTCAGAACTTACCCTATCACAAATGTACTCCCTGAGCTATACCAGAAGAAAATATAAGAAGAAACAAGAGTCTTTGGGGTGGTATTCAGTCTGTTTGCCAGACTGTGAGAAGATAAGGTCATAAGTTCCCCTTGGACCAATGGTTTTCCAAAAAAGTATTCCCCTTGCGAACATAAACTTAATAATATCTCTTATTTTGTTAAAGCTGCATTAACACCTTATTAACTTGAATAAAAGCTCTTTTCAAGTCTTTCTCAATCTCCTTTGCTGGATCATTATCTGTCTCCTGTCCACTAATTGTCACAAAGACTTTGTCCTTGGGCATCATGTCTCTAATTCTTTGATGATCTCATTAGGTTCAACTTATCTTCTCTGTACAGATGATTTCCAGTCTGTGTTATCCAATCTTAATCTCTTTTCTGAACTCTCTTCCCACATTACCCAAATGCCTAGTAGTCAGGGATTCTTGAGCTAGTGTCCATGACTTTATTTTATTAACATTTTGATCACTATTTCAATATGATTGGTTTTGTTCGTAATCCTCTTTTGTGCACTTAAAAACATTAATCTGAGAAGGGGTCCAGAGGCTTCACAGGACTGCCCAAGGGGTCTATGACACAAAAAAAATTTAAAATCCCTGAATGGATGCTGCCTAAGTATCTCAAAATCAAATTTCCCCATTTCTCTTAGGAGCACTTCCATCCTTCTAGTCACCCAGTTTTGCAGCCCTGCATTGATCCTTGGCTTTTCCCTCACTCTCACTACTCATATCCAGTAAGATACAAAGTCTCTGCAAAAAGTTGTAGATTCTATCTCCTCAACTTCTCTCACATTGGGCTCTTTTTCTCCATTCATGCAGTCTCTACCCTACCTCTTGGATGGTCTATTAAATAGCTTCCCTGCTTCTCATAACTCCTTTCTGACTCATTGATCATACATCTGTCAGATTCATATTTCTAAAGCATAGCTCTGACCATTCTACTCTCCTACTCAAAAATCTTCAGTGGCTCTTTACCCTGGTGTTTAAATCCCTTCTGGGGTCTGGCTCCCATCTACATTTCCAGTCTTATTTAACTCTCTTTCACATAATTCTTCATTTCAGCCAAACTGGCGTATTAGCTGTTTCCCACAAATGCCATTCTATCTCCTACCTCCTTGTCTTTGAATGAGTTTGGAATGCACCTGTATAGAATATACTTCCTCCTTACTTTTGCCTAATAGATATTTGGAAACTGGAATTTAATTCATACACATTGTCAGGATCCCCATGCCAAGACCACCCCTCTCTTATTACTCCTCTATTAGGAGACACTGTTTTCCAGAGCTAAGGCCCAGCAAGGAGGCTGTGCCCTGAGCTTGGCATAACAACAATCCTTTGCCACCCACCCTCTGGATGAACTCAGCCACAGCGAAATCCCAGCATTGTTTCTCACTGGCACGAGGTATTTGTTCTCTGAGCTCGAGCAGGCACCTGTAGTACCCATGTTTGTTCATGAAGCCCTGCTGTGAATCAGACTTGTCTCAGTGTAGCTGTTACCCCTCATTGTCAGGCCTGCAGCTCATTGCATAACCATTGGTATATATATTGAGATTTTCCCTCACGAAAGTGGGTCCCTGGCACATGTGTCTAGTTTCCCACCTCCAATGGAATAAAGAAAGCTTTTTGCTTATGACCACTATTAGTTCTTTGGTTTTATTTTGTCATTTCAGAATTAACTGTGGTTGTGATCATCTCTGAGGTATTTGGTATTTTTAAAAAAAACTGGTGCACTTTAAGTTGCTTTCATTTCCAAATACATCCCTTTCCCTTCTCAGCAAGGCATCACTTTTTTTTTTGTTAATGCAAAAGCTTTTTAGCTTCATGTCATGAAATTGTTTTACCTTTTGTGATTACCATTATCTGTTGTTTGATTAAAAACTCTCTTTGGCCTTATCTGTGAAAGGAATCTGAACTGTCTTCTAACTGCTTTATGGCGTCACCTTTAAGATTCGGATCACATTTCTGTGTTGATCTTATTGTCTAATAGGGAGTTTTCCCCTGTGTAATTTATATTCTTGAGTTTATTGAATACTTGTTGAATTAATTTGTTTCTAAATTCTCCCTTGTAGTCTTTTCCATTGGTCAACTTGTTTGTTTTTAACCAGCACCAAATAGTTTAGATGGTTATTACATCTTTCCAGTATAATTTAAAGTCTGTGAGTACTATTTTCCCCTTCATGCTTTTTAAATTATTTCCCTAGAGATTCTAGACCTTTTGTTCCTCCAAATGACTTATGTTATTTTGTCTAGCTCTAAAAAGGACTTTATTGGTAGTTTGATTAACATAGCACAGGGGTGGGGAACCAGCAGCCTAGAGGCCACATGTAGCCCTCTACTTCCTCAAGTGTAGCCCTTTGACTGAATCCAAACTCGCAGAAGAATCCCCCGTAATAAACAGATTTGTTCTGTAAAACTTGGCCTGGATCAAAAGGCCCTACCCAAGGACTTAGAAGGCCACATGTGGCCTGGAGGCTGCAGGTTTCCCACCCCTGGCATAGTAAATAGTAAATTCACTTAGGTAGTACTGCCATTTTTATAATGTTAGTGAGACTCTACCATGAGCGCTTAGCTTTCTTCCAATTACAGAAGACATTTTAAAAATATGTTTTATAATTGTATTTACCAAAGTCCTGAGTGTACATTGATGCCTAGTTAATATTATGCATTTTTTAGTTCTTTCAGATGGAACTGCCTTTTCTTTTATTTCCTTCTCTATTTTGTTGCTGCTGTGCAGAAATACTGATGACTTTGGTGGATTTATTTTGTATCTCACTGCATTATTGAAGTTATGTAGTAGCTTAAACCATCCTTCGCAAAACTTTTTTGCCTGCATTTGACTTTAATTTTCTTTTCTTGCCTTATTCCTTGCATTTGTGGAACTGTATCAAATGACAGTGAGAAAAGAGGTCATCTTTGTCATTGTTGAAAAAGTTTTTAGTGTTTACTTATTGCAAATGCTAGGTTTTGGTTTCAGCTTTGTAGTTTTTATCATTTTAAAAATGGACTTTCTATGCTTGTGTTTTGTAGCCTTTTTTTTTATAAATAAGTATATTTGTCAAAGGCTTTTTCCTGCATCCATTGATGTAATCATGGTTTCAAGTTTTCCTTTTACATTTATTATTTTAATAATGTTGATCCATTCATATATCCATAGAATAAATCCACTTTAGTCTCTGAATAAATTTTTGGATGTGTTATGTTTTGGGGATAATATTTTAAAGTTTTGCATCAGTCTTCATTAGTGAAATTGATGCTTTGTTTTTCCCTTGTTTAGATTAAAGACTGTTCAACTCATAAAAGGAGTTTGATAGAATATTTTCTTTTTCAGTTTTTGAGAATAATTTGTTAGCATATGTATGAATTTATATTTAAATGTTTGGTAGAAATTCACTAAAATTTAGAGGGTAGCTCTTTAAATGTTTCACATTGCATGCTACTTATTTGTTCTGGTTCTTTAGGTCTGGGTGATTCAGAATATACCTACTTCTGTAATGGTGGAAAAATAGTTGATAAACGACTTCAAGAACTTGGTGCTCAACATTTCTATAAAACTGGGCATGCAGATGATTGTGTAGGGTAAGGTGATTTTTATCTATCCATATTTATTTTAATTTTAAATCACAGAAGAAAATATTTTTATTATACAGTGTAATATCTGGCCCATTCACCAAAGCCACCAAAAAGCCCATCTCTCCACTCGCTGAAACCCTATTTGATCACTCATTCATCATTTTCAGTAACTGATATTTTTATGTATCAGACCATTTAACATTAGAGTGATTTCTCTTGCCTTCCCTTTTCTCCCTCCACTCCTCCCACCCTTTGCTGACTCTGACTCTCTCAGCAATCAGTCCTCTTTAATCAATCAGTCAGCAAACATCTATTAAGTACCAACTATGTGCTCGGAGCACTGTAATGTGCCCTGGTAGTCTACTCCTTTAGAAGCCCTGTTGGGCTGTGATTTGAAAACCCTGTTTAAATTCAAATACTCATGTTTACATAAACCTGATTACCCCTTTGACACTGGGTCTCCTAGATAACCCTCTTTATTTTTGTATCTGCTTCCAAAACAGTTTTATCATACATATCTCTTGGCTCTAGTCATTCTCCTCAAAACCCCTCTGTCCTTACCCAAGAATCTAAATATAAACATTCCTTTCTATATATTTCAGCAGCCTCAGACCCTTAGCTTTTCAGCCTAACCATTTTACTGCCATTCTATTCTTTCCTTGAAAAATTGAAACATCTCAAAGAAGTTGCCCCTGATGCTTCACCTAATTTCAAAGTTCATAACACTGTTGTGCACATATGTCAATAGGTCTTTTTTATTTATTTATGTATTTATGTATTTGCTGAAGCACTGTTTTTTTCAGTCTTGTCTCCCCTAAGTCTACAGTGACAGAAGTGATGGGTAATCAGATTTTATGCCATATAACTTATGAACATTATGTCAGTGATAAGGCAAATGTCTTTGAAGTGCCTGTTTTCAAAATAAAGAACTGTTCTTACATTGTCAATTAACATCATTCATTAGCATTTACATTATTGCTTTTTTAAAGATATTGCTGAATTTTTTGAGGTGATGTTTCTGAAGTACTGACATTAACACTTTTTTGTAGGTACGCCTGGGTATTCCTATTGCAGTGAGTTACCCATAAGTAACTTAATTTTTTCTTTTGAAGTAATAGTTGATTTAGAGAGGCATTATTGTGAAATGGATAAAGTTCTTGACTTAGGAAGACCTGGGTTTATAACACATCTCTGACAGTTACTAGTTCTCTGATTATGGACAAATCACTTGACCTTAACCTTTCTTTTCTTTTCTTTTCTTGTTTTTCCCATTTACCCCACCTGATTAGATTTATTTTTATCATTACATCAAAGTCAACTTATATCCATCCCTTTATGTGTACCCCTTTAACATGGTGAAATAACAATAAAGTTCTCAAGGATTATGAGTGTCATCTTCCCTTGTAGGAATGTAAACAGTCTGCCCTTATTAATAACATGTTGTTTCTTTCTGCCCCTTAACCTTTCCGAACATCAGCGAACTTTCTAAAAACTCTTAAGTTAGATGGGTTGTAAGCTGTGTGCATGAAGGGAGTTCCTGCACTGACCAAATCCCAGGCCTTTTATTTATTGATGGGAATAGTTAACTAAGCATTCCTTGAAGGATTCTTGTACTTTGCAAAACATTTCTCCTTTAGGTTCCCAGTATATTTCTACAATCTGAGAAAAGAGATGTGACTTTATAGGAGTTCATTTAAATAAATTTTTGTTGGTGTTATTTGTTATGAGAGTTTGTCAAGTTTTGTATTTTTTGTTTGCCTTTTTTCTGTTTTTATTTTTAGGCACTTAGAGTAAATGACTTGCCCAAGGTCACACAGCTAGTAAGTGTCAGGTGTTTGGTCTGAAGGCTGGATTTGAACTCAGATCCTCCTGACTATAGGGCCAGTGTTCTATCCACTGAGCCACCTAGCTGCCCCAAGTCTTGTTAACTCTGCCCAGTTCATATATACTAGAATGTGAAACTGTCCTCATTTTTGATGAGTCTCTTTTTCTGTAATGATTTTTTCAGTTTAGAACTTGTTGTTGAACCATGGATTGATGGACTTTGGACTGCCCTCAACAAACACTTTGTGTCAAGTAAAGGAAAAGCAGATATGACCAGTGATTTCAGTACTACATCTAATATCTCCTTCCAGACTGATTTAGTTAAACCAGAAGTATTACCCATTGAGTCGCAAATTGCACTTCTCAAATTGGATGATTCAGGGAAAAAAGTTTCTGAGGCTTCAACACAAAATATCACCAATGTTCTTTCAGGAAGTTTAATTGAAGATTCTGAACCCTCACTTACCCAGTCAATACCACCCCTTTCACAGTCTGCTCTTAATATTCCAGCATTACCCCCAGAATATTTAGATGTCCAGTTTCAGGAGCCTCTTGGCCAGGTAAGAAGTGTAGCTCTGATATGTTACAGATTTAACTTCAAATGGCATATGAAGGAGGACTGCTATCTGCATTCAGAGAAATAACTGATAAAATTATGTATAGAATGATTTTACATATCTCTACATAGTTGTATCTATTGGTATTTCTAAGAGGGGGCAGGGTATGGGTAAGAAAAAAAGGAAAGAAAAAGAAAGTTACATGATAACTTTATTATATATGTATACACACACACACACTCACACCTATTTGTGTCTAATGGTGAGGAAGAGGAAAAAAGAAATTTACACAATAACTTTTACATATTTAAAAGGAATAGCAAATTGTACATAATTGATTTGCAGTTTCATGTGCAATCATCTTTTTTATTATACTGTGCTCTGGAAATGCTAGTTTTATTCCATAAATTAAAAAAAAAAAGAATGTCCTATACATTCCTGACTAGAGAAGTCTGTCTGGCAAGATTACAAGCTAAAAACACCAGAAGCTAGTATATAGTTCTTAATAAACTGAAATAAAAAGTAAAATATTTTCTGCCATCATTCTCCTGGTCCTGCTCACTTCACTCTTCACCATTTCATGCAAGTCTTTCCATGTCTTTCTAAGATCATTGAGCTCATCATTTCTTATAGCATAGTAGTATTCCATCACAACCACATGCCACAACTTGTTCAGCCATTCCCCAGTTGATAGTTATTCCTGCAATTTCCAGTTCTTTGCCACCACAAAGAAAGCTGCTTTAAACATCCCATTCACATTCAAAGTTTTCACTATTTGTGAATTTCCCTTCATCTTAGTTTTTACTTACCATTTTCCTTTTCAGACTCTTTTTACCCTATCCCTGTTACCTTATCTTCTCCAATTACCCTTTTATTCCTCATTTTGCCCTCCCCTCTAAAAGTCCCTCCACACCCTATCCCCTAGTTTTCTCACCTCTCTACTGTTCAGAATAGTTCCCCACCTTTCAGATATACTCATTGTTTTCTCTTTTATCTAGATGACAGTAAGGTTCCAACTACCAGCCTGCCCTGCTTCCTCTGTATTCTTCCTTTCATGCCCCATTTTTATAATATAATTGCTGTTTTACCTTTTCCCTCCTAATTCTGTTTTTTAATCACCCCATCACACACAACTCAGCCCCAACCTTTTTTTTCCAACTACCTTAGTAATGATGACAGTTTTAAGAATACTGATAACATTTTCATATATATATACATATACATACTCACACACATATATATTTTATATACATATATATACACACACACACACACACACATACATATATATATATATATATATATATAAATAAGTAAATAGTTTGACATTAATGGGTGCCTTATAATTAGTCTTTAATATTTTCCTTATATTTCTTCTGGATCTTTTATGTCAAATTTTCTATTGAGTTCTGGTCTTTCTGTTACAGATACCTGAAAGAATTTCGTTCATCAAATGTCCTTGTTTTCATTCAGGATTATACTTAACTTTACTGGGCAAGTTATTCTTGGATGGAACCTCAGGTCTTTTGCATTTTGAAATGTAATATTCCAAGACCTATGGTCTTTTGTAGTAGAAGCTGCTAGGTCCTATGAAATCTTGACTGTGTTTCAGCAGTAGATTGTTTTTTTTTTTCTTTTTGATTGAATTATTTTTTACCTAACCTGGGACCTTTGAAACTTGGCTATGACATTCCCATAAGTTTTCCTCCTTGGGTATCTTTCAGGTGGTGATTTTTTCTACTTCTACTTTTCCCTCCTGTTCTAGAACCTCAGAGCAATTTTCCTTAATCATTTCTTGTATTTAGATTCTTATCTCTTATATATCTATCTATATATCTCATATCTTATCTTATATCCAGTATCTTATATCCAAATTCTTTTCTTTATCATAACTTTCAGGTAGTCCAACAATTTTTATATCATCTCTCCCTGTTCTCCAGAGCAATTGTTTTTCTAATGAGATATTTCAGATTCTCTTCTATTTTTTCTAGTTTTATCATTTCTTACTGTCTCATAACGTCATTTGATTCCTCTTCCTCAGTTCTAGTTTTCAAGGAGTTATTTTCTTCCTTAAGATTTTGTATCTCTTTTTCCAATTGATTAAGTCTCTTTTCATAATTATTTTGAATTGCTTTTTTTTCTTATTTTTTCCTTGATCTCTCTTGTTTGATTTTTGAATTCCTTTTTAAGTTCTTCTAAGAGCCCTTTGGGCTTTGATCATTTGATGTTATTCTGTAGGTTAGGAGTTGCTTTTTTATCTCACTATTTTCCTTTGAATATGAATCCAGATCTTCTTTTACACCAAAGTAGCTATCTGTGGTTGGGCTCTTTTTTGAAAGAATGCCATGACAGCTTGGTTTCAGTTTTTCTAAAGCACAGAATGGTAACTTCTAGGGTTATCCCTGTCATTCTCCTCAGGGAAATGATGGAATTACTGCAGAGTGTTAAGATCATTTGGATGAAAGTCAATATGTAAATGAATATTATTCTCATATGTTTCATTGTTAGTCACATTTCATCAGATACAAATTCTCTTTCCAGGAGCAATGCCAAGTGTCTTTTACTCCAATGGATACAGTTTTCCAGGTTCCCATTTCAAAGGCCATCCGGCTTACTAAGGAGGATGCCATAAAAACCACTCTGCTGTTAGAATTGGACATTTCAGTGAGTTGATGACTTCACCTTTTCCTTTCATTTCTGGTAATTGGCATATTGTAGGCAACCTGACAAGTAAGGAAAATGATCAGGTGGTGCTTTTTTGCTCTTTTTGGTTATATTCTGAGAAGGAATCCTGTATTGGGAAGAAACAAAGCAGTGTAAAGAACATGAGATGTGAGGTCAGAAGACAAGCATCTCAGTTCCTCTTTTGTCACCTTTCTAGCAGTGATACCTTGGACAAATCACGCAGGCTTTTAAATCCTGCTTCCTCCATCTATAAAATGGAGATTACTGAACTAGCTTTCCTTATAGAAAACTAAGAAAAACTTTATTTCATCTAATTCTGAGTTTGCCTAAATTTAGAAACATTTTGTGTAGATAAATGGGTGATGAAATGTTTTTCTTACAAGGCATAATAAAAGTATCCTTTAGCTGACCTTATTGCAACTTTAAAATTCTTTAAAAAATAGAACCAAAAAAAAGTTTGTTTCACCTCTAACTTTATAAAATAAAAAGGTTATGTGCTTAGCTTTTCACCACAATCTAAACTCTTTAACTTACTGGTTTTATATTTATCCAGAATACAACATTTTCCTACCAGCCTGGAGATTCCTTCAGTATCATTTGTCCTAATGATGCTTCAGAAGTACAGGAATTACTTCAGAGACTACAGCTTTCAGAGAAGAGAGAACACTGTATTTTATTGAAAATTAAAGAGAACAACAAAAAGAAAGGTAAAGGACTTCCTTGTTCATTAGGAATTTGGAATGGTGCTACTTAGTCTGGTCACTGGAGAAAGAAGTGAGAGAATTAATGGAAATTTATATTCCTTTAGTTTTCTGTGAAAAACATGAAAGATGTGAGGATCATTTTGGGTCTCATCACATTTGAATGACCTTCACAGTTGAAAATTCAAGTAGCTTAATAGTTACCTGAGAATAGATATCTGGTATATACAGTCTTCACCCTTTTGTCGTTTTCTATTAGAAATGAAGGATCATTTTGTTGAGATAGCTTTGTACTTTAAAATAGTGTGGCATACTGTTGTGCTGAAAGATGACTGTCAGGTTGTTAGTTTTCATACAGATATAGATGAGTATGTTTTGATTAGAAATAGCCAATTATCTGATCTGATTCAGACACTTGCTGCTTCTTTCTTTGCTGCCGTTATATGATTTGTACTGTTTGTCAGCATTTTTATGTGAGTATAGGGGCAGAGGAGAAAAGGTAATTAAAATATTGTAATTCTGGTTTTTGTTAGTAGTTTCAAAGGTTATTGGTGAAAGCATATAGTACTTTACACATAATGGCACTCAATACAGATTTGTGTACTTGAATCACCTCAAAATGATAAGACTAAAGATGGAAATTACTAGTTTAAAGGAAGCATGTGTCCATTTTATTTTCTGTATTTTTCTCCCCTTATTGGCTGATTTGGGCTGAAATTTTTTTTTTAACTCTGAATTTATGTAGATCTTTTTACCTGAGAAGATCATAGTGTTATGAAATGAAAAAGTCTGTCTTTTAGCAGGGTTGTGCGATTTTCTATCAGAACATTAAAAATGTGCAATTATATAATTTTTGGGAAACTGGCTTAAAATTATTTTTTGTGTTTCATATATGTATACATATATATACACACATATATGTATATTTTTTCAATTGAGGGGACATAGAGTGAGCTTTTTTCAGTACTTCATGTTTAAATTTTAATTCGATATTTATCATTTTTTTTCCTTTTTGATGAACTCTGTCTCTCTATTGTATTCATTTGGGGGGAATTTTCTGACAGAATAATTTTATATCCTTATTCATAATATTATGCACATTGAATAACAACTGTGATGTTAACTATAAATATAGATAGTATTCATCTATTTATTTGAAAATTAAAATATTCATTTCCCTCTTCTTTATGTTATATCTCCAATGCCTCTGGGATTCCTCTTTTCGTCCTTCATTCTTAAAGGAGCAGCCATACCACAGCATGTTCCTGAAAGGGTCTCTCTTCAGTTCCTTCTTACATGGTGTCTTGAAATAAGAGCAATTCCTAAAAAGGTATTATCTTTCTTCCCTCTTTGCATTTTAGTACTTTAATTAATTACATACCTTTTGGCACTACTTAGGGCAGAAAATTTCTGAACAACATAATCGGTTCTTGACAATAATCTACTGTAGTTGAAATATTTATTATGTTAACCCAATAGATGAAAGCAATTTTTCATATTGCTTGGAAATCCTAAGAGTCCACATTTTTTCCCTTTTTTAACCAATTTTTCAGAAAATAATAATCAACAGTTATTAAGCATTTAGATATAATGCCATGTGAAAACACATTGTTGATGAATAATTTCTGTAGATGAAATTGGAAATTTTTTTAGCAGAAAATATGTGTTTTTTTAAATTGAAAGATCCACTAGATGTCAGTATTCTACAACATCTTACTGGGAAGATTACCTTTAATAAGTGACTATGTTGATATAACATACCAAACTACATTTTGCTAGATATCTCTTAAAAGCAGGAATAAGTAAGTCATGCTGTGGTTACAGAATACTCCTCAATACTAATATTTCTTTTTTCCTTTCCATTTTGTTCAGTTTACGTCATTATAACTTGCTAGCCCAAATGACAGTGTTCTCAGGAGGTTCATCATCAAATGTGACACGGGTCAAACTAGAGTATTCACTGTATAGAAAATATTTTTATCATATATACTAATATAATTCAGCTATAGCACTTCTGTATTAGAAACATTTCTCCCATGAGAGGGGATGTGGGGCAAATGTTCAGTGATTATATTTTTCCTTATGAAAGTCTCATTTTATTTATACATTCATTTGCAAAGTTCGTGAGTAAACTTTTTAAACCAAAAATCTGGCCCCCATTTGTGGCCTATGTTGCCAGACTCAAGCTGCTCTGTCATTTAGAGGCCTTCAGTATGCCTATATCCTAGTTATTTTTTAGCTCAGCATGCTTTGAATCTTTTGTGAAGCCTGATGATAAACTTTGAATGAAAGTTTCACATTCAGATAGCAGTCTTCCTTGGCATTATACCTCTCTAACCCCACAAATAAATTAAAATTTGAAACTAAATAAAACATCCAAGGTATATGTTAGGGGACACAGGGGGAGGTAGTTTTTTATCCTTAGTTAAAAGGCTTAAAAGTAGAATTGGAGTGAAACTGAACTGTTGATACACCTTGCAGGGGTTTGTACTTGGATATGTACAAGAAGTCCCATGCTTTGCTTGGCCATTTCTGGTTTTTCTTGTTCTTTGTATTGGAGCATCAGGTGTAGTTTACTCTGGGGGCAACTGGGATATGGAGGCATAAGGTGGATGTTGGATTAACTCAAATATAAGTATCATATATATATATAAAAGCTTGAATTACTAATAATAAAGATTTAATTCAAAACTTACCACTGAGCCTTCAAATCACATTTAACTTGATGGACAACTTGCATTGTGTTTTGCACACAGATTTTGTAACCTAACAGGTCACTGCAGGCTATGGCCAGAAATTAGAAGATAAAAACTGAGTTTTCCTAGCAGACAGTGAATTATATTTTCCTTTGGGTATTCCTGCTGGCTCTCCAGCTCATTTTTGGATAATTGGGCACATTTTCAGACAAATAATGAACGAGCTACCATGACAATCTAAGCCACAGAGGACACCTTCATTAAAATCTCTCTTTTCTCTTACCACAGGCATTTTTGCGAGCCCTTGTAGAATATACCAGTGATAGTACGGAAAAGCGAAGGTTACAAGAACTTTGCAGCAAACAAGGGGCCTCTGATTATAATCATTTCATACGAGACTCTTATGTCAGCTTGTTAGACTTACTCCATGCTTTTCCAACTTGCAGGCCACCTCTTAGTCTGCTGCTAGGTAAGTGGTTACTTTTGGATTAATTGGTTTAGGTCTTTGAAATTTCACATACTATATGGATAGGCCCTTTTTGAAGAAAGGGAAAATTACTGTTCAGTTACTTCTTAGTCCTTAAAAATTTCAAGAGCCAAAGTTGGAAAATGTTAGAAATGATAAGTATCCTTGTAGTTTATCTCAAAATGATCAGTACCCAAGGGAAAAATAGCCTTCTAAAAGTGAAAAGAGTATGGGAGGGAAAAAAAACCCTCATTTTTTTTTTTCAAATTCAATATAGCTATAATTTTCTTTTATAAAAAGTTCCAGTTTTTGATGAATCTGAATTGTTAAATATTCCTAATCCTTTCTATTTTGCCAGTTTTCTACAAAGTTCTCTTAGTCAAATCTTCACAAACATTTTAACAATTAGTCTTTTCCAAAGTACCCAAAATTAGACTTAGTTTATCAAGAACTTAAGTATTATCTACCTAGCACTGTGCTAGGTGCTCTGTGAGATTAAATACACAAACAAATATTTGTCTTCAGGGAATTAAAATCCCATTAAATAAATAAAATAAAATCTACCACCCCCCCCCAAAAAATAGGTAGTCTTAGTCCAGAATATTTTTGATCCAAAATGGACTTTGATTTTGAACCAAAGGTAAAACTAGGGTCCTTGACATTCCTCTAATTTACAAGACACTCTTGGACTCTATATTATGGATTTTAACTAAAGTAAAACTGCTGTCTCACGAACGTCATTGTCACATTACCATTGCTCACTGTAAATTTTAACTTAATCGTATTCTGAGAGTCTGAAAGCTCATATTGCTGATTTAGCATTTGACTACTGAAAAATGAAGAATAACGTGAATTTCACAGTTATTTACTAATTGATAATCATAATTTTTAAAGTCCTCCATGTTACCGTCAGAGTGTATAATTCAATAAAAATTGGCCAATATCTTATAATTTTTTTTCTCTTAAATTCATGGTACTTCTGTTAATAGGAGCTAGTATTTTTTCCCCTTTTTCTTGGGGGGCGCTGACTTTCCTATTTTTATTTTATTTGTATAACTTTTTGTTCAGTCAACTACATCCACTGGTATTATCTTTGTTATGTTTAGAAAGAAAATACCATTTTTAATATTTGAGAACTATTTCAGTCTCAACATTTTTTTTCTCTTGAGTTTTATACCTTTAGCATTAACTTTGATGCCTCAGTTTTCCTCACCCCACATATCCAGTTAGTTGCCAAATCTTGCTTTTTTACCACCATAGCAACCTCTTGCGTCTGACTCTTTCTCTCTTCTCAGCCACCACCTTCAAGCCTACATTACCTCTTTCCTAAACTATTGCAATGACATACTAATTGATTTTCCTGCCTAATGTTTCTCCTTAATCCAGCCTATCCTGCACTCAGCTGCCAAAGTGATTTTCCTTAATCTGACCATATCACTCCATGCTTTTGGGAAGAAACATAAACTCTTATTTGTCTCTTAAAGTCCTCCTGGCCCCCACTTATCTCTCATTATACATTACTCCTCTTCACATATTTTTTGATCCAGGCAAACTGGTCTTCTCTTTTTTTTCTTCATATGTGGCTCTTCATCTCCCATCTTTACACAGTTAGACTATTCATTCCTCATGCCTGGAATATCCATCTCCTTTATTTCTGCTTTACAGCACCCCTTACCTCCTGCAATATGAAATTCAAGCAGCATCTTTTTCATAAAGACTTCCTAATCCCCTCAACTTCTAGTGCTGTCTACTAGCTACTTTGTATTCAATTACCATGTAATATATATATACACATATGCATCATATATTTATATACATACACAGAAATATAAATACACACATATATATATATATATACATACACACACACCAACATTATCTCTTCTGATAGAATGTAAGCTCCTTAAGGATAGAAACCGTTTGTTTGTATTTGTATACTAAGCATTTAGCAAAGTGCATGTCACATAATAGGCATTTAATAAATGTTTGTTGATAGATTAATTGTACTTTTGTGGGTGAAATTTAACAAGATGGTAAACTGAGACACATTTCTCTGAGCAAGATAATACTGTATTCACAGGGCCCAAATTCTGAGAATAAAGTGGGTCAGTGACTGCTTGAGTTTCTAGCCAAAGACCCCAAGCAAAAGGACAGTTCCCCAAGTTTAGCAGAATTCCTTGAGGCAAGAATTAGAACAGTGATAAAGAAAAAAACTGGATTTCTAAACAACCCATTACAGGCCAGCAGAATTCTGAGCTAAGTTTGGAGACTTAGATCCATGACTGAGGCAGTTATAGGACAAAATCAATTAACTGTAAATTGGATCTATAAGAAAAAGATTCAGGATCGATTTTGATCTCAGTACTATAGTAAAAGTGTTGTCAACCTGAAAACTAATACAGTACACAGATTTTGTGTCTTGGTCCACTTTTTTCAGTGATTCCTATAGGGATATAATTTCTCCAATTAGTCAGGGTCACTAAGGGTAAGATGTTGCTGCCTTTGGCCTCCTGATATGTGCTAGTCCAGTTCCCCCAGGGTCACATTTCCTGGACCTGACTAGTTCCCTACTAATGTGAAACAGCACATTTGTGGAAAGAATAGCAGCTGTACCCAGACTGACTTTGTTTCACTTAGATTTTATATTAGGGATGAGAAGAGGAAAGATGGATCAGCTTCTATGGTGTTATCCTCATCCACTACCTCATGCTTTATACATTTAGGCCTTTGGCTATCACAGTTGGTTGATGGGGTGGAAGGGGCCTTGTTAACCTTAGAGATTATCATTTTTAGTGCACAGTTACAGCAAGTTCAGGCATTAAACATTAAACAAAGTTGTCTCAATATATTCTTAATAATGCATGAACATTTGTCTTTCCCTCAGATGTCTTGTACATGGTTATGCTTCTTGTGGTGACATCACACATGATGAAAACTGACACCTACCTTGAGTCACTTTATGTTAGGGTGCAAAATTACGATCCAAATATATCCTACTTCTGATGATTCTCATCAAGTATTTAAAAAAACATCTTGTAGGAAATGCATGATTAAAAAAAGAGATGGGTTGGTCATGTCATGATGGCAAGGTGTGACAATCATACCCAAGGTACATCTGTATCTGCATCATGTTGAAAGAGATCTAGTCACACCTTCTAGACTATGGATTATCATCCTGTAGCAGAGGTCTCAAGCCCCCTCCCCATATTTCTGAGCGCTTTGGAAACCAAATTATAATGTAATTGGGAAATCTTTAACAAATAAAAATACAATAGAACATAGGTGATGTTAATGTTCTAAGTCAGGAAGCAGCCCACAAGGATACTTATGTATGGTTTAGTGCCACTATTTTTATTTCAGTTTGACACCACTGCTCTGGAGGAGTAATTTGATCCCAGGGATCCAAATTAGTGGATATCAAAGGGCCAAGAACTAACCAGAACTATAACTGACCAGCTTTGGAACCTATCCTTACCACTGTCATTGAATGAAAGGAGAATCAGTACCAGGTGACTGTCCTGCATTGTGGTCTTTGTAGGCTAAGAAGAACATAGTGTTTCATTGTCATGCAGACTGTAGACGGAAGGATATTTAGTGTAATTTCTCTAGAGGAATTTCATGAGGGCTTAGACAAGAGTTTTTTTAGAATGAGATCAGTCCAGATCAATCCACAAATATTTCTTGAGTGTCGACCATGTCAATTACAGTCTTCTATTATAGGAAATGTTGATATAAATAAGATCACTGTTCCTTTTTAATATTGAAGAAATTAATTATCAACAACTTTTTTTTTTTAAAGAACATCTTCCCAAGCTTCGAGCCAGACCATATTCTTGTGCAAGGTACTGTACTTTGTATAAAATAGCACTGTTCTTCCAGAGTTTATCGTAGTCTTCAAATGTTGTATAAATAAAAACGATTTAAATTAAAATTCATTTCATCATATGTTGAATGCTTGCTCCATGTTAGAGACTATACTTGGTGCTCAGTATACTAAAATAAAAAGAAGGACTTTTTTGTTTGTTTGTTTTAAGGGATCTACAGTTTCAAATATCAAAGAGATTCCCATTATCAATAGCATAAAGTCCACATTCTGCAACCTGATGCCTTTTTGTTCACTCTCTACTCCTTTGAGGAATGGATAAACAATAAGAACCATTTAACTGAAAATAAGTTTTTTCTTACCTGTTTCTTCTTTTACTTCTAAAATACTACAAGAATCTAGAAGGGACAGAGTTACATTGGTGGGAATTCAGGGGAAGAAGAACATAGAGAGCACACAGTTATTTTGATTTTATAAAAAGAGATCATTTCATATTATTTATCTTGACCTATAAAACAGAAGAAAATCTTAGACCTTTTTTTCTGGTCTTTCTGTTTTGAACATTTTGGCTTTAAGTTTTTGGTTTTGTTTTGTTTTGTTTTGTTCTTCAAATATCAGTAGTCTCAGTAAATGGGAAGAGATCACTATCTTATGAGGACCCATAAAATGCACATGTTAAAAACAGTCCTAGTAAATTCTGAATCATTTTTCATGTAGTTTCTTTTTTTAAAAAATTTTATTTATTTTTTCTAAACCTAAGAAATAAAATATTTTCATAATAGTAGAATAGGAAAAAAAAGATGGTTGCAAATCTATTACATACAACTTGCTATTTTTTAAAAATATATAATAAAGTTAGCATGTGACTTTGTTTTTCCTTTTTTTCTTCTCCTTCCCACACTACCCTCTTCCTTCCCCTCGCCCCCACACCGAGAGATGGCTGTCATTAGACATAGATATGTGTGTGTGTGTGTGTGTGTGTGTGTGTGTGTGTGTGTGTGTGTGTGTGTAAAACCATTCTATATATGTACTTCTATTTATCAGTTCTTTCTGTGGATGCAGAAAACGTCTTCCTTCATACGTCCTTTGTAGTTAATTTGGGAATACATAATAAATCACAATAACTGTGCAAGTCAGTTTTCATAAATATCACCAAATCATGAAGACCAGACAATTGGAAATCTTTCTGAATGTTATCAGTAGGTCTAAAAACTCATCTAGGAAAGCAGTACATGTTTTCATTCATAGAGAACAGACAGATATATAAGAGTCCATAAGTAAATATTACTCCCCCAAATGAAACTACCTTGTTTTCTATATAATAGTTCAAATATAGAACTGATGACTTTCTGCTGTCTGTATCTTTGCAGCTCCTGTTTATTTCATCCAGGGAAACTTCATTTTGCATTTAACATTGTAGAGTTTCTGTCCAGTGTGGAACCTGTGACTTTGCGAAAAGGAATATGTACGGGCTGGCTGGCCGTAATGGTTAACTCAGTACTTCAGGGAAATGGAAATGTCTCACAAGGAAATGATGTTGAAGCTAGCTTTCCAGAGGTACTTAAAATACTCTTAAGATTTTGTCATCCTTAAGAGAATTATTCTTAACCTGGAGAAAAGATTCCTCTTTTATTCTACATTGTTGCCTTCAGGTTCTGAAGAAGAAAATATACACTTTTAATTTAGTATCTTGATAATGAAAACATAAAATATATATTTGAAATGTGCATTCTTTATTGTTGTTATCAAATTCTGAAGTTAAAAAAATATGCATTTATTTGAATGCCAGCTATTCTAGGTGCAGGAGAATATTGTCATATTTTATACATATTCTCTGAGTCTTACTTTTCCCCTTGGAAAACAGAGTTCATATAGTATGATTTCTTTTTCTGCTTTCCTCTGTTCTTTATAGTCTTAGAAAGAGTTTTGATTTTTTTTTCCTATAAGAAATTATTTCAGGAAGAACAGAATGTTTACTGTACAAAATGACTCAAGGGTTTCATCTTTTTCCCTCCTCCACTGACCCTTTCCCCCTTATCCCTAATACAACAAGTTTTAAGTTTGCAGTATAACTTAAGTTAAACTTTTAAGACGTTCTTATATAAACATTAGAGATTACTAGCAAGTCCTAGCAAGGATGTTAGACTGTGGTCTTTTTACTACTTCTTTCCCCCTTTTTCTATTATACTTTTGATGTAAAGAATCAAAAGCACCGAAGAAGATAGCTTATTTCATTAATCCACAAATTACATTTACATCTGCTTATTGGCCTCTGTGACTAGTTTATACATAGTTACGTGACCCTTAAGCACGTCTTCTGCAATGGACTATTGGTCATTGAAATGAGGGAGTTTTCTCAGGCTTATTGTAAAGTCCTCAGTGTATTTCTTGTCTTTATGAGATGTGATTTCTAGTTTTATCTCGTGACTATTTTACTTTCTATAAAGTACTTGAGTTGGAAAGTGCTTATCCTCTGGGGAGAAATTAAAAGACTTCTTGTGTAGATGTGAGAGTCCTTGGGGATGACAGCTGCTGGGTAATGATGCCTTTCTCCTCCATCTTCTCTTTTCTGGACATAGTGCTTTAATTAGGGAGGAATTTTACAATATATTTTTGTTCCCAAAGAAGTTGTTCCATCATGTACACTTATTGGGCTTCCAAGTCTGTTAGGCTGATGTGAAATGATAGGAATCTGAGAATTTGTGCTTCCTTTACTAAAATAAATTACTGTAGAACTGACCCTGAAAGTTTTAAGTTGATTCCTGATACCTGTCCTTATGAGTATAAAAAGTAAGGAGGAATTGTAAAATTAGGCATGGTGTTCTAACAAACATAATGAGTTAGGGGGAAAAAAATGAAAAAAAACCATGCTATTTTATTAGATTGCCCCAGCAATACAGAGAAGAAAAGGAAGAAAATAATGTAGACATTTTTGAAAACAAGAATTTTACTGGGATTACCAACACTTCTGTTCCTTTCTGCAATATAAATCAAGTATTAGTTTAGTGTTTAGAAATTTTGCATATAGTAATGGTCAAGATAATTTTTCACATAAAGTGCATAGATATTGACATATATTAAAATATTTATCTTTAGTTAACTGCAATTTTTTGTTAAGAAATCAGTGCTTAGATTTGACAGTCAATTTTGCATTGCTAATTCAATGCAGTCTAATAATGAATTTAACAAGTATATTTTCTCTGGATTAAAGAACGAAAAGCAAAGACAGCTCCACATGCTTTAGGCAGATGCTTCTAATGATGTACTTACCGCCAATCAAAAAGATAATCATTCAGTCTATGATATAACACACATATCTATATTTTTTCATTTCCTCTGTGACCTTGGGTTTCTCACTGAAATACATTTTTATACTCTAGCTTGTAAAAAGAACAACTTGATTAATTTTTTGTACTCAATACCCTTTCTTTACTTAAAAATGTAGTTTATTTTCATTTTAAAAACACAGTTGGTATTTAGGAAGAAAAATAGGAAAGCCTTCCTGCTTCATTTTTATATGTCTCTTTTCTTTCATTGTGATGAATTTGTTGATGATTTCATTGAGGTTGATGCTATTGTTTTATTCAGAGGTAGTTCTTAAGAAAAGTGTATTTTCAGATTTCATTACCTATTGTTGCTTTGGACTTCCTTTTCCTCCTTCTCAAAGGTATTCTTTCAATTTTGTAATTATATTTCTTGATTTTTCAGATCTCCATCTTTCCTCATACCACAAACTCTTTCCGATTACCCAATGATCCTTCAGTACCTATTATAATGATTGGTCCAGGAACTGGCATTGCACCTTTTATTGGTTTCCTACAACATAGGTATGTTCTGCCTTATTTGATATTTAAAGAGCAATCATGTTTTTGATTAATGGGAAAAAAACTAATGTCTTCTAGTGCACAGTGGAAATTTTATAAGGACTTTCAATTTTATTTTGTGGGTAACTTTCTTAGCAGTTTTTAATAACATTGTACTTTTCTTCAAAATTCTTGAAAAACATTTTTGATAATCAAATGTAAAGCATAAGTAAATGCTAATAATTTTAAAGGATAGCAGCTATTCAGATTGCATTACAGAATTTTCAGTCATGAATGTGTTTTTGTTTTATGAATGAGCAATGTTGATTTACCTTGCCACATGTTGCTTTTATCCATGCATTTCAGTTTTTTATTCTGGTGTGGTCAGTGCCCCCTTTCAGATACTTTTTCATGTTATAGAATTCAAGACATTATCTCTGGGATCCTTAACATCATTTATAAATGGTACCTGGATGAGATCCCATTATTTCAGAGACTTCATGAAGAAATATCACCATTAGTCATTTTCAACAGTTTGATTAACAATATCTAAACAAAACTTTATGATGTTGAGACCTGTTAGTAGTACTTACCTCTATATATGAAATAACACCCATGCACTGTATATAGCTCATATATAGAGTGGTTTTCTTTAAAACACTGAGGTAGCTTGGCATAGAGGATAGAGAGGTCTCCTAGGAACTAAGAAGTTAAAATCCTTCCTCTAACCCATACTGGCTGTGTATCCCTTGGAAAGTCAGAAAAGATTCCTACAGTCCAAATCAACCTAGAAAATCAAAAATTGACATTAACAATATTGTACTTGTATTTGTTTTGTTAAACGTTTCCCAATTACATTTTAATCAGATTCAGGCTACACTCAGGAGGCCCCTGAAGTTGACACCTATTCTAGACAACCAAGTTTCAGAAAATGTACCGACCTGCAATACTAGCGGAACTTCCTGTGTCTTGAGTTCTCAGTACCAGTGAAATCATAGGTACTGGCCCAAGCTGTTTTTTGTAAACATTCATGCTTTGCTCCCTGCCTTCTTTTCTCTTTTTAAGAAAGGAGAGTTCAAAAATGCAAGATTTACAGGTAAAAACATGTTTGTCTCAGTGATGATATACTAAACTCTTGATTTTCTACATTTAGGCTATTTCCAACAAAATTTTAATCCCAGAACAACATCCCCCTGCCACCGAACATTTTCACTGCCTCATTCCACTATTATTAGGGATATAAGGACATAAAAATAATTTCTAATATTAACCTAAGTACTTCATAGTTAAGAAAGGGAGTAGAAAGAATAATTTTACCTGTCCCTCTTCCTTGTGTTTCTCCCCCTCCTTCATCCCTTGAGCCCCCTCCCCCATATCAAACTACAAAATATACTTCAAAGCCAGTGTAATTTTTGGATTATCTATCTCAGTGTTCCTTTAATTCCTTTAGTATAAGTAATTGAAAACTGACTCCAATTGTACTCTTTTTGTAACATATTCCACCAATTTATGAATTATGAATTAAGGTGAATGTACAATGGGGAGTAAGTAATGAAATTTTACATTGTGCTGCTGTGCAGATATGATGTTTGGGCCTTTTCCAAAATGAATTCTATTTCTGATTTTATTTGAAATTAAATAGTGGCTCTTGGTGTCTTATACATCATACAGACATCACACGGCTTTCAAAATAGGCAATAGGAAAGTTGAAGGCAGCCTCTTTTTAATGTCTTTCACACAATGAACAGCCTTAATTTTTTGTTACCTCTCAAGTTTCTCCAAGCAAGAAGTCTTCCTCTCTCTCCCCCCTTGTTTTTTCCCAACAGAAGTAAAAGAAAATTTCACACTCAGTATATTCTGCTGGCTCTTGATAATCTGTGACTTGTTTTTCTTTATTATTCTTTGCCTAATGCTGAAAGTTTGATACTTATCTTCAGCAAATGATCAGTATTATTTCCATTCTCTGTAACACAGCTTTATTTTTCAGTCTTAAAAAGAAATTATGTATCTAGTTGTGATTCATGGTTTAATTTCAAACTGTAACTCAATGTTTAATTCTCTTAAGTTGTTTAAGACAGTTGTATATCTAAACTGTGACACTAATGATCAATAAGCCCACTTTCATTTCATTTATAATGACCTGAAGTATATTTCTGAAATATTTTTAATAAAACAGTTTTAATACTAATTCCCTTCATGGATCACTGTCATGTTAGAAATTTATTTCACAGAATACTATCCAAAGGCTATTATACTTTAAAAAAAGTTTTTGAAGTAAGAAGGAGGAAAAATTATATAGTTCTTTGGGACAGTATAAGGGAGTTTAATTGAAATATGCTTTTTTTGTTCTGCTTCTTTTGAGAAGGTGTATGAAATACTATAAGAAAGGATTTATTTGCAGTGATTCTTATGGACACCAGATTTTTCATTTCTTTGAATGGAATACATCTTGTTAAAAGCTTAAACCGTACTTGCCGGCTAGTAACTTAACCTCAAGTTGAAGTTCAAGCCTCAAGTTCAAATATGACCGAAAGAAAGAACCCAAGAGTTTGAAATGGTCAACATTCTTTAAAAAAAAAAAAAGCAATGGATATTTACTACTAGATGTAAGGATTTGTGCAGAAACTGCAAAGGATATAATCCTTACCAGGAACTTAATGTTCTGATTTAACTTTATATATAAGTAGCAGATGATGTTTACAGAAGATGTATTGCCAAGTCATTGCACGTGTGTGTGCCCCACACATATGTATTCATGCATACATACACATGTGCGCATATGTATATGTGCCTGTGTAGTACAAATAATATTCATAAAATAATAACAGTAACAATAGCGACTAACTGTTATATCCCAGTGCTTTACACATATTTCCTTATTTGATCCTCAAAAGAACCCTGGGAGGTAGGTTCCATTATTTTCATTTTATCTTATGCCATGATAAAGTCTAAATGGATATATAAATATAAATTAAAGAGCAAGAAAAATTATCTCTTGGAGTTATGAAGAGGGGAGGAATTCATTGCCTCTAAAGGACAGAAAGGTTCATGGAAGATAAATTGAACAGTTTTGATTACAGAAAATTTATAGGTTTCTGCACAAAAAAAAGAGTTTATCATGGCATGAGGTATGAGATGTTGGTCTATAGGTAAATTTCTACTAGATTGCTGTCCAGTTTTTCCAGCAGTTTTTGTGAAATTGTTGAGGTCTTTGGGTTTGTCAAACAATATTCTGTGGTACAGTCATTTGTTTCTTTATGCTGTTTGTCTCATACATTCCATTGATTGATTTATTTTTAGACCAGTAACAAATCATTTTGATGATTACTCTTTTGTTATGTATTTTGAAATCTGATACTGCTAAGTCTTCTTTCCCATAGTTTTTCCTCCCTTCATTATTTCCTTTAAGATTCTTGACTTTTTGTCTCTTTAGATGAATTTCATTATTTTTTCTAGCCTGATGAAATAATCCATTAGTAGTTTAATTGGTTTTGCATTGAATAAGTAAATTAATTTATTAAATTAATAGTCATTTTTATTAACATTGGCATAACTTGCCCATGAGCAATTCGTGTTTCTCTTATTTTTTAGGTTTTTCTATTTCTGTAAAGTATATTGTTGTTGCATTCATATAGTTCCTAGGTATGTCTTGTATTATAGCTTATGTAGTTATTTTGAGTGGAATTTGTTTTCTATATTTATATTTTCCTAAATTATTCATTGTTTCAATCTTTAGGTGACTCTTTAGGGTTATCTAAGTAGACTATACTATCATCTGTAGAACTCAGTAGTTTTGTTTCTTCTTTGCAGCTATTTTATTCCCTTGATTTTTTTCTTGCATCATTGTTATACCTAGCATTTCTAATGTTATGTAGTATATAATAGTATAACAAGAATCTTTGCTTGACTTCTGATCTTATTAGGAGAAAACCTTCTACATTTCTCCCTTATGTGTTTGTTTCCTTTTAATTTTAGATGCTATTTACCATATTATTTATTCTCATACTTTCTAGTGTTTTTAAGAGAAACAGATCTTGGAGTGTGCTAAAAACCATTCTGGTACCTATTGACATAATCATGTGTTTTAAAATTGTTTTTGTTGTTGATTTTATATGTTGTGTTTAATTTCTCTTATATTGAAACCCAGCCTGGGTGCTTAGTATAAATCCAACCTGTTTGTGTTATCTTTGAAATATGATTTTGTATCCTATTTGCCAATATTTTTTGCGACAGCTTTTTTAAGACATATTAGTCTGTAGTTTTCCTTCTCTTTAAACTCTTCCTGGTTTAGGAATCAAGACCATTTTTGTATCATAGAAAGAGTTTGGAAAAGTCTTTTTGCAAACAGTTTTCATGATATTGGAGTTAATTGTTCTTTGAATGTTTGATAGAATTAATTCACTTTTAAACACATCTGGTCCTTCAGCTTTTTTTTTCTTTAGAGTTCATCTGTGGCTTTGCTGATTTCTTTTTTGACATTGGATCATTTAAATTTATTTCTTCTGTTAATCTCAATATTTTATATTTGTAATTATCCATTTTATCCAAGTTCCATTTTTATGGGCACATAAGTGAGAAAATAATGTCTAGTAATTTCCATTATTTTCTCTTCATTTGCTCTGAATTTTCACCTTCATTTTTGATATAAACAATTTTTTTCTCTTTTTAAATTACTAGCTAAAATTGTTATCAGCATTTTCCCTCAATTTTATTTGTATTATCTTTGATTTTCAGAATTTCTATCTTGGTTTTTTTTTTTAGTTGGGAGGGTTGATTTGTTGCTTTTCTAAGGTTTTGGGGGGTTTGGGGTTTTTTTTTTTTGCTTTAGTTATATGCCCAACTCGCCGATTTGTTCTTTCTCTCTTTCATTGATGAAAATGTTTTTAGAGATATAAATTTTCCCCTGATCTGGTTCAGACCATTTTCATGTTAGTTTAGGCTCAGTGTTAGATTAAAATAGTTAAGGAAGAGAGGTTTATTTAGCCATGGCATATTTAGACTGGATCTGCCCTGTAGGTCCACCTGTGATGACTCTCATAATCTTAGGGCATACATCAAGTTTGAAGGGCCCAGACACCTTGTGGATAGAACCTTTTATGTCCTTAGGTAACTAGGCAGTCAGCACCAAAAAGTTGTCAGCCAATTGGCTTGAGTGTCCTCTGGTCTTACGGACAGCTTCCTTGCTCTTTAGGGAAAGAACTGTTCAGATTGGAGAAGGGAGAAGAGATATTGGTAGATAGTGATTGTATCATGTTCCATCCCTTAAGGCCAATTTTGATAACTGATTTTGGCCTGACTCAACTGTAATTGCCCATGTTTTAACATCCTAGATTGTTTTCTGATTATGGTTTCCAATTAAGTGAAAGTGTTTTTCCTTCATGTAATTTTCTTTTCTCATACTTTTTCTAGACTAATGAAGAGAGTTTTGCATTTTATAGATTGAATCTTAGCATTTTTAAGTGTGTTAAATAACAACGTGTTATATTTTCATTTATAGGATATGCACAAATTCCAAGTTGGCTTTTATAGTAGTAGATGTTAAAACAGAAACAGTAAATTATGAAATTTTACATTAAGATATTTGCTTTTTAAGTTATTATGACTAGAAACTTCATTGTTTCTTCAAAGTTGTCAAACATTAAGGACATGGGAGTGTGAAATGTTATGAAAAAACTAGTTTCACACAGTTTTCAAATTCTTTGTTTAGTAACTTAGCTAATCCTTTTCATTCTGTGTTTAGAAATTATATATTTGTACATTTTTTTAAAATCAGATTTACATAATGCTTTTTATTTGAAAAGTGAGAAGCTGTCTTTAGGCCTTATGCTATCAACTTTTGTGATCAGGTCTTGAACATTCAAAAGTTAGTTAAATGATTGAAATTCAAGGTAGACATTAAACATGAAATAGAAAAGAAGCAATTTTAAAACTAACTAGCATTCCTTCACAGTATTGTTTAACAGCAGAGAAATTTGGCTTTTACATTATTTCAATATCAAGTACATTATTTTCTTTTTCATTTAGAGAAAAGATCCAGGAACAGCATCCAGGTGGAAACTTTGGAACCATGTGGTTGTTTTTTGGCTGCAGACATAAGGATAGAGACTATTTATTCAGGTATTTCATCATTTGGTATTCTAGTGTTTTACAACTGACCATTGGCTAGTACAACATCTAATGTTCAGCCTTTTAAAAACTAGCTAATCTTATTTGTATGTTATATTTCAGAGAAGATCTAGACCATTTCCTTAAAAATGGAATTTTAACTGAGCTGAAAGTCTCCTTCTCAAGAGATATTCCTGCGAAAGGGAAAGATACCTCACCCAAATATGTGCAAGATAATATTCGCCTTTATTCCCAGCATGTCACAAGAATCCTTCTCCAAGAAAAGGGTTGTATCTATGTGTGTGGGTAAGTGGATTTGACACTAATACATTAAGTGGGAAAAAGAAATTAGTAGTTCTGTAAACATATAACTTTCAGTACTAATTAATTTGTTCACATAACGAAGAGATATTTTCTCAGGCCCAAAAACAGAAGCATTAAAATGATATTTGAGCATACTTTTGATACCTAGAATTTGATACTTAACCATTGCAGCATAGTGGAGAGAAAGCTGGCCTTGTAGTTGGAAGAACTGGTTTCAAGAGCTGCCCCTGACACTTTCTGGCTGTTAAGCAAGTCATTTAAGCTCTTAGGGCAACAGGCATCTAGTTAAAGCTAAGTTTCAGAGAAGGCACCAGTCTTACTAGCCAGGATCCCCTACACCAATGGAATTATATACACACACATAATGTCCTTGACAGGAAGATGGTGATAAAGGTTGACTTTGCCGTATATAAACTATTCTAGCTTATATAAGTAAACCAGCCTGAGGAATATATATGTGGTCTTATATTTTACATGAATTATTTGCTAATGCGAGGGAGGAAATTACCTTCTTCCCCTCTTCTTTAGTGCAGAGTATTTGTGAGTAGACTGACAAGCCTGGAATTTATTTTCTTGAGGAATTATGTCTTTTTTTAGTTTTGTGTCTTGATCCTTTGGTGGAAATCTAGTAATTACCCTTAAATGCAATGACTGTTTTGGTTAACTTATTGATGTTATGGAAATAGATAAGATGTAGTACTAACCAAAACCATTTTTTATCATAGGATGCTCATGTAGAGCATATAACTATTAAGATGTTAAAAGTCTGTATTAAAATGGTATAAATTTTCACCTCAGTCTTCCAAATATGAGCGTCTAATTTTGGTGTTAGGTGAATATTAATATGCAGTTTTAGTACTACTCCTGTTGCATAAAAGAAACTTTAAGTTTTCATCATTATATGACTATTTTGTTAACCTTTCAATAATGTCAGGGATTTTACATTTAGTCCTAGGTGGTCATAGTGAACCATTGGAATTTGTGGAGTGGGAGAGTGATGTGGTTAGGCCTGCACTTTAAGAATATCATTTTAACAGCTGGGTGGAGGATGGACTGGTGTGAGGAGAGACTTGTGGCATAGTTACAGTGTGAAGTGAATAGAACCCGCAGCAGAGTGATGGTGACATGTCAGAAGAGAGAAGGGGAAGGATAAAAAGATACATAAAGCTAAAACTAACAGGCTTTGGCAAGAGATTGGATATAGGGGATGAGTATGAAGAGTCCACAATGACATCTAGTTTGCAAGTCGATAATGATACATGTACCTTACTTAAACAAGGTGGTTGTGAAAGTGAAATGATATAATAGGTATGAAGAATTTGTAACCACTGAGTACTATATAAATGTATGATCACTGTTATTATAGATCATAGTGACTCAGTATAAAAACTGTTAGAGTGATAGCCCTACTTTAAACTCTGACCACATCAGGTTAGTTGGTAGCAGCTCTGGTAACATAATTGGGCCTGGCAGCTATGAATAGCCATTCTGACATCCTCCATGTAAGTTTTACCATGATGTACCCTGTTACAAAATGCCTGTATCAATTTTAATCATCACAATAATGGTCAGATCCAAATTAGGAGACAAAAGAATGTTTTCGGTAAAGTTACTATACCAGTTGACCAGGGGAAATATTTGTAGTGTGTCTGGATTTTGGCAGCATGTTTTACAGTGTTTTATAGCCTCCTGGAAGACAAGATGGAGAAATGTGAACTATGCCAGTGATGTCAGACTCAAATAGAAACAGATCCCTGCCAGCTACATATTGACTTAGAAAACCACAAATTAACATTATCTATGTTGTATTTGTATTTTGTTAAACATTTCCCAATTATATTTTAATATGATTCAGGCCACATTTAGGGGCTTTGTGGGGCACTGGCCATGAGTTTGACATCTCTCAGGTGCGCAATAAGTGGATTTATAACTGGTTGATCAGCAGTACAGGAGTTAAATCAACCTTAATCAGTGTTAATCAAAGAGTTCTCTAGTGACATGTTCTGTTCAGGTAATTTTGAGGTCCTTCCCAACTGTGTATCTGACATTCTGCTGCCTGTCTTGATTAGATTACTGCTGAATTTGCTATACTTGTTAGTAAAGAATTATATCAAACTAAAAATGTTCTTCTTTTCCAGAGATGCAAAAGGAATGGCAAAAGATGTGAATGATGCTTTAGTGGAAATCTTAAGCAAGGAGGCTGGGGTTGAAAAGTTGGAAGCAATGAAAATGTTGGCTACTTTACGAGAAGAAAAACGATATCTACAAGATATTTGGTCTTAAGATATATTTTGTCTGTTTGGAAAGACTCTGAGATCTTTTGAGCCGAAAATATTAGAATGCTTTTTCCCTGTTTTCATATTCTGTGCCAATTATTTTAGTTTTTATATTTCCTGGTGGGACTTTGATATGAAAAATTAACCATTGCAGGAAGCCCTTGTTTAAGATCTTGAATAATTTACTACTGCCTACTCACTAGTACTTCTAGGGTGTTTTTGCAAGTATAGTTCAGTGATTGCAAACTCAGATAGAAACAATGGCCACTAATGCATACATAAGGATCCCTATGGGCTACATATTGACTTAGTTTTAGAAATGTAATAATGTCTATGTTTTATTGTATTCTTGTTTTGTTTAATGTTTCCCATTTTGTTTAATATTTCCCAGTAATGTTTTAGTCTGGTTCAGGATGCACTCTGAGGGGTTATGAACCTCATATTTGGCACTTCTGCTGTGGTTGAGGGTGTGTGTTGTGGCTTCTATTGCTTTCCAACTTTCCTAAATGTAGGGTGAACTTTCCTTGTTAAAACTGACTAGCAAGTATGGAAAAGAGGTTAAAAAGCAATTAACGTGCAGAGGACTTTCTCCTTATGTAGTGAGAGCCAAACAAGCATTTTTAAAAATGAGACATTTGAAAGGGAATTCTTCAACTATCCCAAACATTTTGTAAATAAGTATACTTTTCTTTGCCTCAGGATTTCTAGAAACTGTGTATTAAATGAGCAGAGTAGCCACTTCAGTGATTTGGGCAGTAGTGTTGAATTAGTCCTGACTTTATTTTTGTCAGTTTATATTGCTCAAATTTTTTGATGAGTACAGGATTTTTGTACAAGGCAACCTTCATATTTTATATTTCTAGAAATGTTTAGTATTTTCAAGTTTATATCATTTAGTGGAAGAAAATTTACTATTTCATGTTTTACTTATCAGACAATTAACATTACCAAAGATTTACAGAGGAAAGTTATGTTTAGCATTTATGTATTTCCATTTATGTTATTGTATATGTGTGTAGATATAGGATATATAATATATGTGTATATGATATATTATGTACTATATAATATGTAATATGTTATGCTATATATACATACATATACGTGTGTGTGTGTGTGTGTGTGTGTGTGTGTGTGTGGTGTATGAAATGCCTCTAAAAGCTCCATGTAACAATTTTTATCACGGTAGTACAGTTAACATCCATGATATATGCCAATCATTTTTGTCAAACTTATCTGTAGTGTGTGTCTATATGCACACACATCTATATGCTATCTGTCTATATAAAATATCTTTATATAATGTTGTTTTATTTCAGAGAACATCTGAAATATTGTCATAGTGCATCTTGTTATATTTTATGATCTGCTGTATGTATTTCTGAAGAGAAAAAATACACTTTCATTTGAGTGAGAATATGGTATAGAACTTTTATGAACTGAATGTGATGCTTGCCAGTCTTCTTTAGATTTGTCTACTTCACTGCCAAATTTAGCACATCTTATTCTCATTTCAGGCATCTATTTTAGACAGATTTTAAAAATATGAAGTTGGAAAAACTCTAACTAATACTTATGGTCCAAGTAAAACTGTCAGTTTTGATAAATTCCCTTCCAAACAGAAAGAGCTCAAACTGCAGATTCCTGTTCTCTTATAATCAAGTTTAATTTGGAAGCCATTTACTGCTGTATCTGTCATATCATTCTACAGAGAAACTTTTTAAAGGGTTGTCAAATTTGCTTGTGCCATATTCTTTGAGAAATAAAGGTGAACTGAGGCACAAAGTTCCAATCACCATTCATTTATTAGTAAAGCTAGCAATTGCCAAACTAAAGTTTCTCAGTAGCCAAGGATAAACCAACTGGTTTACTGAGAGCATTTTTATAGTCAATAAAGAGAAACTAATAAAAAATTTATATGTGTATGTGTACATGTACATATATGTGTGTATATGTTCATGAGACTAATAAATATGATATTGATGCATATTCATAGGATTTACAGGAATATAGAAGCATAACAGGAATAGGGAAGTAAATCTTTTGTAACATTAGGCCTGTAGGCATTCCCAACTCCATGTGATTTTAATTAAATCAAAGTTCAACTTTCTTGTTGTCTTGGTATCCATGATTAATGAAGCAATTCATTGATATGCTATGAGAGTGTCCTGGAGTGTTTTTAAGTTTTCGTGAGTCTAAATGAGAATTAACTTAGGTACAAACAGGGAAACTAACACTGAGGAAGGAAAGATTTGCAAAACAAAGGACTTAGGCTCACGGTGTGGGAGAATATTAAACTCTTAGCAACTCCCTAATAAAAGCTAGCTTAATTAAGTTTAATAATACATAGCAAGCCTTAGCTAAAACTCTAGTCTGATTATATAGATTGAGCTCAATTCTCAGTTTGCATTTCTCAGCCGTAGAGTAATTGATAAAAAGAAAACTTCTTTCTCTAGCCATTCTTTTATTAAAACATCATAATGGTATTTTTTTTTCACGTCTGTCAAAGCATGTAGGGTGGCCTTGATTTTAAAAAAATAATAAGGTCTGTTATACAATCTACCAAAACAAAAATAACTTTACCCCGACTTTCTCTTGAAAGATCTAGGCAGCCATCCCCAGATAGACAGGTAGCAAAAAGATATGAATTTAAAACTATTAACTATTTGAATGAATGTTGTTCCAAATCATTAAGAGAAATGAAACTCAAAACAGCTCTGAGATTTTGTTTTACCCCCAACAAAATTGTCAAAGATGATAAAGAATGTAACTGTTGGAGGAGCTGTGGAAAGTCTATCACACAAATGCCTCATTGGGAGAGCTGTGAATTAATCAAGACAATCTGGAACTTGGAATTAAGGGGAAAGTGACTAAAACATCCATACCCTTTGACCCAGAGATTCCACTGATGGCCATCTATGCTAAAGTCAATGAAAAAAAAGGCCCCGTATGCAGCAAAATATTTATAGAAGTATTTTTTTTCATATTCTCCAAGAGCTAGAATTGATGTACATGTCCATCTATTGAGGAATGACTGAAAAAGAGTCAGCCTGTTGTAGTGGATAGAGTGGTAGACATAGAATCAGGAAGACCTGCGTTAAAATAGTGCATCAGATACTTAATGTATGAACCTGAGGAAGTCGCTAAACTTCTCTGTGCCTTAGTTTCCTCCACTGTAAAATAAGGAGTTTAATGGCCTCTTTAGTTCTCTTCTAGCCCCAAATCTATGATCCTATAAGTATGTTATACATGAATGGTGGAATATTGTTATAGTGTAAGAAATGATGAATGTGAAGAAATGTGAGAACTCATATGAACTGATTCAAAATGAAGAACTAAGAAAACAGTGTTCACAATAACCACAACAATATAAATGGAAGAAAAAGCAGCAACAAAACAAAACTAAATGATTCAAAAACTTAATGATCAAGCTTGATCCTGCAAAAGGGATAAGAAGACACCTTCGTGCTCCATTGCAGAGATGGACTGGTTTTGGAACACTGAATATAATGTAGGACTTTTTTTTTTTCTGTCTCATGGTTGGTGAATTTTTCTCCCTTTTTGCTATGGGAGTTGGCTCTGTAGAAGCGGGAGAGAGGAAAATTGTCTTGGGAAATGTATGTGATATAGAAGTAAAATATTTTTTTAAACACAATATAATTGGTCATCTTTGCAATCTTGTATATTTTATTTATGCATCTAAGAACATTTTGAAGAAGGGTCCTTAGGTTTCACTAGAGGGCCAGAGGGATCTATGACACAATAAGGCTTTGGAACCTCTGCTTAATGGCAAGGGGAGTTGATGAGTGCAAAGGTATGTTTGTGTGGGAAATTTTGCTTTCTTAAGTGAAAGGTCTAACATCCTCGATTTGATGCAAAAGAGTTTCAGGAAAGGGCTCAAAATCAGCTTGAGTAGTAAGTAGGATTCTAATTAGTTTGTGATGGTTAAATGTCGGACATTATACATGCCTTGTAAGTTATTCATTAGGATCTCCTTTTCTGAAATAGGATTGAGAGAGAAGAGCTATTAAATTATCTATTGTGCTATTGTTTGTGAGAATGATGCTTATGGAATTTTGAATTAGAAAAAAAATGCTTTGTTTCACAAATTACAGAGCAGAGTTCTTAACCTTGGTTTAATTATTTTTATGTAACTGTCAGAAAATTGATTTCTTTTGTAATTCTATGTGTTTTATGCATTTAAATACATTTTGGGGAGTCCTTAGGCTTCCATAGACTCAGAGCTATGGGTCTACAAAAATAGTTAAGAACTGCTATTTAAGCAGCTAGATGACTTAGTAGATTGAGTGCTGGGCCTGGATTCCAGAAGACCAGAGTTTAATTCTAACCTCAGATACTAACTCTGTGACCTTGATCAAGTCACTTAACCTTTGTTTCTTCAATTGTAAAATGGGAATAATAATAGTGCTTACATTGCAGTGTTGTTGTAAAGATTAAATGAGATAATATTTGTAAAATTTCTTTGCAGAGTGTTTTCTTGACATATAGTAGGTGCTATATAAATGCTTTCTTTCTCTCCCCTCTCCTCTTACAGAATAATACATTTTCATTATAGATATTGGCTTTAAATAACATTTTTCTTTATTTTTAACATTCCTTTTTTAAAACTTTGAGTTCCTAGTTCTCTCCCTCTAGCCCCTCCCTCTTCCTCTAGACCTTCCCCTTCCCATTGAGAAGGTAAGCAATATATCAATTATTTCCACATTAGTCATGTTGCAAAACAAAACAAAAATAAAGAAAAAAAAAGTACGCTTCAATCTGTTCTCAGAGTTCTTCAGTTCTCACTCTAGAAGTGGATGATATTTTCTATCATAGATCTTTTGGAATTGTCTTGATCAGAGTACCTAAGTCTTTCACAGTTAATAATCTTTATAATATTGCTGTTACTGTATACAGTGTTAACGGTTCTGTTCACTTCACTTTGCATCAGTCATATAAGTCTTCCCAGGTTTTTTTTCTGAAACTCTCCTGCTTGTCATTTCTCATCACAAAATAGTATTCCAGCACAATCACATACCAAATTTGTTCAGCCATTCTCCAACTGGTAGGCATCCCCTCAGTTTTGTGTTTTACCACCATACAACACACATACACACAAATAGCTGCTATAAATATTTTTGTACAAATGAGTCCTTTCACTCTTTCTTTGTTTGGGATACAGACCTAGTAGTGGTATTGCTGGGTCACAGGGTATGCCTAGTTTTACAGCCCTTTGGGCATACCTTCAAATTATTTTCCAGTTCACAATTCCATCAACAATGCATTATTGGCTCTGCTTTTCCACCCATCCCACCCCTTT